TCGATTAATCTCGTCGTATTATATTATTTTTAATATTAAAATCACCTTGTATGCGATATTATTATTTCTAATTAATATCATCAGAAACGTTGAAAAAAAATAAAAAGTAAAAAAACTTTGAACAATGCTATTCATTAGGAGGATCAGTGTATTTTAAAATATTTTTCAATAAATTCTAAATACTTCTATAATAAAATATTATTATTAAGTAATATTGTGTATAATGTATGAATTGTTAGTATTTGTATTATTTTAAATAATTAGTATCAAATAGAAAAGGGTATCTAAAATTTTGTTAATTTAACCGAGAAAATATTTTCGCAACCTTAGATACATGATAGGATCGTGTCCCATACTTTGAGAAATCCTAAGTACTACAGTATTATTAATCAATATCAGTATAGTATTTTTTATCGATATAATATAACTCTGGTGTACAACCCTACTTTTATTAGAATATAAAAATTACAAGAAATAATTATTTATATTAATTAATATATACATATTCGCATATGCATTTTGAAACTAACAAATAGAAATGAAATAGAAGACAGACGTCACAGAAATTGAACGAGTTTTCTTAAGAGAAATCGGAGTTATTATGAGTAATTAAATGGTTGAAAGTGTGTAAAGAAAGACGAACAGAAGTTGCATATAAGTAAACGAAGAAACGTTCGAAAGTCAAACGTACTTTGTAATAGTATTCTGTATGAACTTTCACGTTTATGCCAAACGATGTTACGACCGACCCTGTTGTTACTTTGATGACATTGTACAACGACTATGTTGACGTAGACGTCACGAATGTCTCGATCGTGCCTTCGTCGTTTATAACGTGATTTGTTTATTAACGAGATTAAATTTTTGAAAACTAAGACGAGTATTTAACAGAAAGCCACTCCTCCTCACTCGCACGAATAATTTTTATCCAAGTTGTTTTTTTTTTCTTAATGATCTTCGAATTTTTTTTTTTAATGAAACCGCAATAAAAAGAAAAAGAAGAAGAAGAAGAAGGTTTCTTTTTTTTTCAATTATCCTTTGACACGAATATTCACATTTTATTGTGGGGGAAACAGAAACAAAAACAAAACAAAAAATACAATAAAAAAGAAATTTTATTCGTTTAATTTATGGAACATTTATAAAGTATTCGCATTTTAATTGGGAAAAGGAAAAAAATGAAGAAGAAATTCTTTTTTTTTTTTCGATTAACTTTTGACACGAAGATGCTACGTAACGTTGATGTGTGGGCATCGACAAGTTATGTCAAGGAAAGCGAGTTTGTTAAAAGATACTCGAACGATATTGGAAAACTTATCTGCGAGGTCATACGAGCTAACTGACAATGAGTCGTACGTGCTCATAATCGTTAAATTTTCGCATCATTAACCAACCTCAACACACACAAAGGAACGTATAGAATTTTCTTTTATTTACTTTTTTTTTATTTTTTAACGTAGAACCTCTTTTGAAAGATTGTCACACCCCCATCCCCCATTGGAACATATCACAACGTTAATAGTTGTAAATGATTCATCAAACTTAATAATTATTTTAAAGTATGTTATATGTATGTTCTATGTACAAATATATTATTTTAATAATTATAGTTTATTCCAATAAAATAATCAACATAAGAATCCTCGAACTGGATGAGCTTTACATAAATTCGACAAAAATATTTTATATTGAAATCCTATAATAAATATATATCTTAAAATGAGAAAATTAATTGATTTCTCTTAGATCCTGTGTGATTGAGATTATAAAATTAAATTAAGGGAACCATCGAGATTTAAGATTAGATGCGGTCCATTAGAGTTTTAACAGACTTTCGACAAATTTACATTGATTTTAATGATCGTTATATCGAAAGTCGGTCGTTGACTTTAACACATCGTATACATATATATAAAAGAGAAATTCTTTGATCTCACGTATGTGTGTGTGAGATCTATGTATTGGTTTCTTTTTTTTTTTGTTTATATCTTTTTCCCCTTTTTCATTTTATTGTTTTTTTTTTCTTTTCTTTTTTTTTTATCTGTCATAAAAAAATAGAAAATTTATATTTCAAACGATTATATATAATATAGTTTCATTAAAGTATACACAATCGAAGAAGAAATCATCAGATTAAGAAGAGAAAGATTAGAAAGATTAGAAAGATTAGTCATGAGTGTTTGGTGATCGTGACTAACAATGAGTCTTTAAAGGAACACGTGACTCTCTCTTTCTCTCTCTCTCTCTCTCTCTTTCTTTCTTTGATGTTCGTGAGTGTTGCCATGGGCCACACTTACCTACTGATCTATATTACATCGTTGCATTTCCGGTGTTCGCGATATCTCACTCGAGAAATCGAAAGGCCCATACTTTGTTTCCCGGAAAAATTCATAGAGCCACTTTCCTCTTCGTATCTCATGTGTTCTTCTCTTTACCATCACCACCACCTTTATTCAACCTCATCTTCTTTCCTTCGCCCACCTCTTTACACGACTTTCGAAAAGTGAAAGTCGACCTGACTTTTTTTTTCTTGTTTTTTTTTTTCTCTCTCTTTCTCTCGAGTCCTTATCTTGAATAGAAGTCGAATTTGAAGTGGTATTTTTCTCTTCTCTTAAAGTTAAGTGTATGTTCCGACAAACTGTTCTTATTTACAAAAAATATTAACGAATAACAGAAGACGTTTTTCTTAGGTGTCTAATTTTATCAAAAGAAAAAATAATATGTGTCTTGTAAAGAGAGAAAACTAAAAAACAAAAATATCATTTGAATGAAAGTATTTCCGTCTAATTAGACGTAAGAAAAAAGTGTATGGGGTCGGCTAGTTATCATCGAATAAATATCACCTATCCGTCATACGTTTTCCGGTGTCCTTGGATAGTGAAAGTAATATACGTTTCATTATTTTCCTCTGAATTGAATTCTTTTCATTCTATTCGCGATAAATGCAAATTAAGATAGGCGCGTATAGGATTCCATAGATGACTTTGGAATTGTGTCAATTTATGGTACTGGAAAAGATACACGAGAAATCTTCACCGGTAAGAGGTCGAGGGACACGTGGAGAAGGTTACACAGGTGTGCATCGTTCAAATCGTTTGTGCTGGACGATGGACTTTCACTGGCGGGTCTCTGAACTCGAGACTTGAATTACCCCCACCTTCTTTTTCTCTTTCTTTCTTTCTTTCTTTCTTTCTTTCTTTATTTATTTATTTCTTTCTTTATCTTTATCTTTATTTCTTTTGACTTGCCTACCAGAATCGAACGTCGGCTTCCGGCTCGTACGTTCGTGAACTTGAAAAAACATTAGCTCGGATCTACCTGCTCAAGTTTCACGTACCGGTTTTAACATTAATCTTTGAACTTTCAATCGTATTCTATCTAAGGAAATGATTCGACAAACTTTGCTTTATGATCTTCGTTTAAATTTAAAACTCATTTAATTTGATTCAATTACGAATAATTAATTCGTCGAGTTATAAGTATTGATCAATCGCAATATGGTGATTGAAATGCTTGAAGAAAAGAGAACGGTGACATGAATGTTTCCCATTATATTTATTGATACGTAGGTATGTACTTTATTCAAGGTAAAATAAAAAAATATGAATGGTCATGATTCGAAGAAGAAGAATTTATCATAATGTTAATGACGATTTCTACCCTTAAATTAAAATTCAATTGGGATACTAATATTACTTATTTTTTTTCGATCATTCGATTCACACATAAATGATACTTACGATATTTACTTATTATATCTATTACCACATGATCGTTGAGTTAGAAAATGAATACTTTGAGATGTTCAAAGACATGCATTGTGTTCGCCGATAGGTGAATAATATTTATCTTCCATATGACCTGTAATTAAATTCATTAGAATGATTTTAAAACGCGTTCTTAATACGAATGTCTAAACGAATTAAGATTCCTGTTTAGTGTCTATGTTGTAATCGTTAAATAAATAAATCCAGATTATTTCTAGCACGAACTGAGACTTTTTATAATGATATAGAATTAACTGTTCATTTCAATGGCATAAGAAAGATGTAACCAAGAATCATAATGGATCTTTATTCACGTTTTATCTCTGATGTAACACGAAGGAAAAATTAATGGAGTGTATAAGTTTTTAATGATATACGCATTGACGTACAACAACGGAGTCGTATGTATCTATTTCTTTCTCGATTCAACATTTCAACGGCGCAAAACTCATAAAAATTTTTTTTATTCATTTATATACGTATAAACCCAGACAAGAGTTGATAATATTTTAAAAAATACGAACAAAGTTCAAGAACTATTCGTAGAACAAAAGATACCATTGTATGATATATCGTTATTGCATTTTAATATCGTGGTCGGTAATTAGATTAATTAAAATAATTACTTTAATATTTAAATAATTATCAAAATATTAATAATAGATTACCAAATATAAAACGTTTGACACAGCGCGATATTTTTTCTTCATATGATTATTATTAACCTATTATTAAATAATACCGAAAAAAAAAGAAATCTATTACATTTACAAAAATTCAAGTTAATTAATTAAAATTAATTATTTATAGAAACAAAGTTGCATCAAGGTTGCATATTATTTCAAAAGTATCGTATTTTAAATATTGACATTGCACAAATTTTCATTTAATTTCTTTTCTACGTCCCCCCCCCCTCTATATTTATTTGAAATAAATATTAATTAAAAATATTCACGGGGATCCCTATAAACGAATTATAAATCCTACTTTGGCATTTCCTTGCAATTTCCGTTTGGTTTATTTTCTAACCCTTTTTATAATCGTAGCATATATTATATTATTGTGATATTAAAAAATTAACAAAAAAAAATGTCTAGACAGACAAGACGCGTATAGCGTTTGTCGTCGTTGTATATTCCATGATATTAACGACGGAAAAAGGCGAAGGCGAAGGCGAAGGCAAACGGAGGAAGTAGGTCGGAGAGAATTCTTACTCCTCGATGGAGACACGAGGAGCCACCGGCTGACTGCCATCGTCAGTCTTGCCAAGATATCTCGGGAGTCAACAGGTGCGTCTTAGGGAGCCCCGATACGCTCCTACCTCTTCTTTAACTTCTGCTTTTTTTTCTGTTTTTTTCCCCCCACCCCGTTTCTTCTTTTTTTTTTTTTTTATTTTTCGGTTTCCACTCACTTTTGTATTCGCATTTCCTTTTTTTTTTTATTCTTTTTGTCTTTTACCCCCTACCCCCTTTTACAACGTATCAAACGAGCCCGCAAAAATACGACGATGGTCGCTTAAAATAATAAAAAAAAAGTAAAATAAAATTACTTCAAAAAGAGAGAAAATACAAATAAGAATCATCTTCTTTTTTTTTTTGTCGTAATCTATTCTTATTTCGTTTTTTAAGTCAACGTGGTTTTACCATTTTGGTAATTGCGAGAACGGTGGTGAGGGACGCGATAAGGATTGGAGACGGAAAGAAAAATAATATAATTCGCGCGAGGATCCTTCCTTAAGCAGCAACAGCAAGATGTCCAAAGTGAGTTAATTCATCATTTTAATTTCCTTTTTTTTTTTGTTCGCTATCATTGATATTTCATTTACATTAACACGGGTATAATAAAATTGTCTACGTTTAAAACATTGCATTGAGGATAAAACAAGCATTCTTCTTCGAGATAACGGGGTATTCGATAAAAACTTGGAATGGAAAATGAAGATGAAGATGAAGAAGAAGAAGAGGAAGAGGAAGAGGAAGAAAAAAATATATATATCAAGGAACTAGATCGGCTTAATTGTTCTACAATTAATGTCTGACCGTGGATTTTCTGGAGCGGAAACCCCGTGCGACATGGATTGGGGCCATGCCATAAGAAATTACATAGTCTTATAACACTAAGTTTTCTCGTTATTAATGAACAATGATTTTCATTGATGATCGTTCATTAATCCGGGCGGACGATGAATCCGTGACGATCCTTATCGTATCACCAGTCTTTCATTTGAATCATTTAAGAAGAATAGTAATTCGTGTAAAAGCAAAATTAGCAATAGAATTGGATTTCGAAAAAGGAGACAAGTGAAATTAAGACTCGATCGAAAGTTTCGAGGATAAGGAGAAAGAGAGTAGAATAATAATAATAATAATAAAAAAAAAGAAAGAAAAAAAAGAGAAGAGAACAGAAAAAAAAAAAAAAAAAGAAAAGTTTCTTTCTTTTTACCGAAGAGACCATACCGGTGCTAAAGAACGCAACGCACGTGCGAAACGCGTCCAGCGAAAGCACATCGGTTGTTCCATTTCACTCGAGTTTAAACGTTGGTCCATGACGTTATCATTCACTTTTTATATTTTTCTTTTCTTTTCTTTTCTTTTCTTTTTTTTTCTTGTACCATTTAACTCCATAAACGCCTTTCGTTTTCTTCTTTTATATTTTTTTTCTTTTCTCCTCCCATAAATATATTCTCCTAGGGTATAAAAGAAAAATGTTATACAAGTAATTGGATTATTAAAAAAAAGGAACGTTGAGAAATATCGAACAACAATCCGGATGCATGATTCGTCTATCCGTACGTGTAAAATATATGTGTACGTGTGTATTAGTATATGTGCATATATATATAAACACATGTATTTGTGTACTTAAAATCACGGAGAATAATTTAAAGGAGGTGAAAGTCTCGTGAATAGCACGGTGAATGAGATCCCAAGTTTAAAACGCGAAAACGTGACCAATTGGAAATTAGTTGCATGAATATATTTTTCCTTATTGGCAGAAGTTTAGAAATCTTTGATGCATCTTTCACATAATTTTATATGCTTGAATATATATATATATGATATATCATAAATGAAATTTTCCTATAGCAAAATCACGTTAATCTATAAATCGTCTAATTTACTGTTTCTCGTTTTTTACTTACAAAAATGAATATGATATCTCCAAGAGAAAAATATTTCTACGATATTGTGGTGAGTTGATTACGCTTTTCGCAATTTCGTTATTGCGAGTATCTCTCTCTCTCTCTCTGTGTTCGAGAATACGATTCAATATTTCACGTTCAAGTGTTCGTGTTTCTAATCATTTCTCTCTCTCTTTTCTAATTCCCCGCGAACTTGATTACAGTTATGAGAATTATGAATTGGGATATTTTTTGTACTCTGTTAAAATATTAAATCGTGCCAAAAACAATTAGATGCTAATCCCAAGTAAGCTGCATAATTCTAAAATTAATACTTTCGTATATAAAATCCATGATTATTGAATGGATGAGCAATCCTTTATTCAATTCAATCAATAAATAATTATTGCAAATAATTTTAGATCAGATGGTCTTCTTTAACATACCCTACACGTGTTCGAAAAATTTGAAAAAGAAGAATTTTTTGTTGTCCAAATGAAAGGGGAACAAAGAAATGTTAATCCTAGATTACACTAGCATACATATATTAAACTATACAAATGTTTTACATTCGTTGAACACAACAGGATCATTCGTTTTCTCTGGTATCGATGGTTGCATAACGTCCTTCTATTGGTATTATATCGATCCTATTTTTTCCAGCTGGTTTGTTAAGCCCAATGAATATAAACACAGTGGTTACCTAAAACATTTTATATAATATGAGAGGAGGAAAATGTAATTTTCTTGTAAAAAAATAGGACTATCATGACGAACGTATGGTATGAATATACCTGAAAATATTTATTTACTTATATGGGAGAATCGTGAATAGAAAAGGATGATAGAAAAAAAAGTACAGGGAGAAACGTGCATAATCGATCTATACGATCGTACTGAGGCCGACTTTCGAAATCTGTTAAAAATCAATTCACGTGCTAGACGATTCACGAAACGTCCCACGGTGCTAACTAAATGCAACGGTTCGAACGTGATTAGATATTACCGAGAAAATCTAACAACAGACTTGCTTACGTATTTTCGTACGTGTGTGTGTGTGTGTATATATGTGTGTGAGTTTAAAGAGTATATATAAAAATAGAAACATAGTCAGTATTACTAAACAAGTTGATTTTCACCAATGCATTGCGATGCAACACGCGTAAGACAAACGAAAGACAGCATAGAAATTAGATAATTATAATCAATAAAATCTAATTAATTATCTAATAATAAGATTATTTGTGTTACAAATGTTTATCTACTTTTGGATTTTTGTTTCTATTTGTTTTCAGGTATCATTTATTCTAGTCTTAGCAACTTTGGTTATCGGCAGTCTAGCAATAGATCTACCAAAGCCTGGTTACGCTAGGACAGTTTTGAAAGTATCGAGAAGTCTTCCGGGTGAGACAGAGGAATTAAAAATTCGAACAAGCGAAGGTAATTTGGCAACATTGATAGTAAAACGACGAGAAAAGTCAACGTCTTCGGTTGATGATGGCGATGGAATTGGATCAACGAATATCGATGCTACCAAAAAGCTTGATAACGTTAGTAGAGATGATATTTCGTTGTTGATCGATGGAAAAAACGAATCTGATAGTAAACAATTAGATCAGAAAAGGAAGGAAGATGTGAGAAAATTGGAAGAAGCACAGGTAGAAGAAATTCGTGCGAAATTTGTCAAACCCGAAGAAATTGTGGAAGGGATCACTGAGAAATCATACGAGTTGGATAAAATTGAAAGAAAAAGTACAACGATTCGATCAATTGGCGAAAGGAATATTGATTACGGTAATTGGACACCGTTAGGTGAAGATGGTAAAGCTTTGAAATTCCGAGAAACCACCACCGAGGAATACCACAGTTGGAAGCCTTTACCGGCTGCTGATTCAAAGTTGCCTGTTGAACAAGGAAGATCAAATTTCGTTCGTTTCGGTGATTCAACTTATGCGAACAACGGATTGATCTTTATAAGAAATTTTCAAGATCGGGCACAGAGAAATCTTAATTTTGACGATGACAAAAGTAATCAGGCCACACAATATTCTTATCTACCTCATCAACCACGTCAATCAACCAGGACTAACATAGGTGCCAATTTGTCGAAAAACAGGGATGCCAAAAACGTTCCACCCGAAGTGATCATCAGATCGGAAATCAATGTTAAATCTCATCCGAAGAGATCACCAATGTCATTGGACAGCGACGGTACTCCTATAATTCATGGCAAACGTGTTCCCGATGAACCCATGGATAAAATTCAAACATGGCGTAACGCCAGAATCATTAACAATAAACTTATAACAGAGAGTACGAGTTCTAATCCCGCGGAAACTTCTTCTTCTTCTTCTTCTTCGAATTACTATTCTCAGGATAATGCGGCAGAAAGACAAAGATTCGAAAGATTCTTCAAGGATATCAATCGCAGGTAAAATATTTTCTTAATATTATGTCATGGTAAAATTAATAATTACACGATATAAAATTATATTCGTTAAAATATTATCTTTTACAGATATGGTAGAAATTACGAGGACAATGGTAGAAACGTATTTTTCGAATGGGATCCAAAAAATTATAAGAACGAAGCTCTGAACGCAGAAGTTTACGAAACAAGAAACGACAACTATCGTGCTAACGTACAAAAACGAATGTTACATCCCGAAAGTATAGCCAATTATCCGATATCGCAACTTTACACACCGGAAAGTCAAAAGATTTCGACAGTACCTGTGAAACCAGGAGTGAGAGCACCTGTTTTACAATACGCTCATCCCGAGTTGGGTGTTCAACCGGCTAAAATTGTGAAGAACGAAAAAAGACGACCGGAAAATCATATGGATAATTATCAACACTCCAACGGACAATATCCATTTATGGAACAACGTCAAAAAAAGAAATATGTACTGAACGATAAAAACATAGTCGACACTTACACAACTAAAAATTATTACCCTAATCAACATTTCTATGGATTGAAAAGACCGAACGACGCACCGTTTTGGGTAAAGATCTCTGAGAATTTGAAGAATCAATTTTCAAATGGCGTAGAAAAAGTCTCACAGTTTACCAAACCAGTGTTCGATCCATTGGTCGAGGCTACTCACAAAATATCACAAAATTTAGGCTTGTCTAAAGGTAAAGAAGCGCAGGATAAAATTGGTACCGTAACTTCTGGCACGAGTATTCTCATACCTGCACTTGGTTTGGTTGCATCGGGTGCTGCTCTTGGAATTGGTGCTGTTGCCGTAGGAAGATACCTTGACGTGGACGTTCTCAAAAGATCCAACGAAGATGCCACTGATCTGGAACATAAAAGAGCATTGGAAATGAATCCCTCGTTCCTAGAAGTACTCGAGAAACAGGACAAAGATAACATCGAGTTCCAATTGCCACGAGAATCAAGGGACAGTGGCGTCTTTTTGATACTGGAACGGGAAAAACAAATTCCGGAGACTGTTGACAAAATTCAACGTAACAGAAGGAGTCTTGATTATTTGGATATCTTTAACACCGAGACTGATGTTAAGAGTCTTGAAAAGAGCAAAAAATTACAAAGGAAAGGTGCAGATTCGATCACTGAAATAGTTGAAATAGATCTTCCCAAAGGAAAGAAAGGTAACATCGATGTAACAGAGTTATTAATTCCCAAAGAAAATAACGAGGAAAATAAAGAAAATAAAAAGGATGGAACAATTTTGGTGATAGGAGATGGCGGTTCGATTTCGCAAGAAATTATGAAAAAAGATTTGGGCACTGATTTATCCGCGAAAGATTCATTGACTAACGTTGCGAGGATAATCGAAGATGCGATTGAGAAATCTAAAGAAGTATCTACGAATGATAAACGGGAAAATAGAAGAAGGAAAAGAAGTACGGAGAGTGATCAGGAATTAGACGATATCTTGCAGAATTTAGAAAATTCAGAAGTTGCTGAGATCGCACACATCGATGGGGACTGGACCAATACACCATGTGCCAAGAGGATATTCTGTGATACAATGATTCAAAAGGATCCCGACGCTGCTATCTTTATGGAAAAGAAAATGGCTAAACTATTGGGTCTGTAAGTATCGAACGATGCGTATACTAATTTATTTATGTTTTATTACGATGCTAATTCGTTTCTACCTTATGTGGGATAAAAATTCGTTCTTTTTAACAACTGGTTGTTCTCATCTCATTACTAACTAACTCTCCGGCTAACCAGTAACGAGAAAGCTGCTGTTTATCCACTTTCTTACCTTCAATAATTACAATGAAATTTGTCATTATAAATAAATAACTCTGGTCCTCATAGTTTTACATAGCATTACGACAGTTGTAATCGATGTTAGTTGATATCAACAATAAATCGAGTTTCATTAAATCAAAACGTGATATCCATATGCAATTGAGTCATACGAATGCGTCAAAAAAATGACTAGGAATATCGAGAAGTCAAGTGCCGATTCCGAGGATAGTAGTCATGTCGAGAAACGGATAACTTTCTTCCAGCTTTCGCCCGACAATGTCCTACTGACTGATACGACTTTTACCTCTTAGCACAATTTCACTATACTTCGGATCCCAGCCGGTATGGCACTGACCACGTGGCGTGATACAGACAAATCTACAAAATAGAAAAGATCTATTCCAGATGTTACATTCCCATAGCGAGTAATCTAGGATACCAATTAACATTACCTGCATACCGTATTCAATGGTATTAAAAGATCAAATCATTCCCCGCGTTTTTAATTGAAAGTAATTATTATTATGATTATTAAATTCATAACAGAGAGAAAGAGAGATATGGCTAACACTTTTCTATTTCCTGGATTCTCATAATAAAAATACATATGTAAAAAAAAAAAAGAAGGAAAAAAAAAGAACCAGTACATAATTCAATTACCGGCCTTACCATATAAACGTGCTAATGAAAGTAACATTATATCACTGTTTGATTACTTTCCGTTCGTTTGGTAACAGTTAATATATGTCGATTTCGTAAAAGGTATTCAATAGTTATTTCTTCGATCGATAAATTTTCTTCCTATATATTTAAAAAAAAAGAAAAACAATCTTTCATCATTTCGTAATACGATGAATCAATCTTACAGAATTCAACCTGGTGCAGCTATGCAAGTATCCAGTCATTTCGAAGAAGTAATGGATGCCATCAGGAGGCACGATTGTTCGAGTTTTCTTTGTCCACAATCTAGACCCGGAAATGTTTTCTTCTGATCATCATTTTTCGTCGTTATCATCGTCATCATCGTTAATGCAAACACGAATATAATTATCTTGTTATATTTTTTTTTTTTTTTTTTTTTTTTTAATCACATCGAAGATGATCTCGAAAGATCTAATTATTGTACATAATTGCCATCATCGAGGCGAAATTTTATTTAATGAATATATTATATATGCACGTTTAATTATAATTTAATTTTAAAAACTTTCAAGGCAAAGCAAATAATCAATCTAATATCGTGAGTTCGACGAAAGATCGAGTGGATTAATTTTATTAATCCGAATGGCTGCTTTCTGCGAACGCACGATTGCACGAACGCGATCCCTTTTGATCTCCTTGTTTGATTTTATTCGAGATCAGAAGAGATGGATAGCGTTAAGAGTGTCTAATTTAAATCATAACGTGTCCTGCAAAAAAAACTATCGTTTGCTTTGCATGTAATTACGTTTACATATAAGTTACATATATAATATCATATTTATTCTATACCGTGTAATTTTTCTAAATAACACGGCTCGTATTATATGCAAACGCCAATGAATAAATAATATTTTTTACGTAAAACAAACTCATATAAATTATTGACAATAAGATTATTATTAAAAAATCACACAAGTGTCGTTCCTAAATCCTCTCACATTCTGGTTAAAAGAAAAATATCAATGAAATTGAATAATTCAGAAGAAATATGATCAAATATTTATTTGGTATTTAGAAGATTACTGTCAACAGTAGTTTGTCCAGATTTCTTATCCAAATTCGACATAAAATCTTTCGCACGAGACTTTCCCAAAGCATTGCGATATACTCACGAACCCGTTACTGGAACGTTGTCGAGCGGGTAGTGAAAATGTATAAATTAATGTAATTAACACCGAACAACTGAGAAATTCCTTATATAAAGTCACGTTACCCGAGATATGTTTGAACACCTCGGGGAATATGGTAGAATGTGAAGAAAAGATAACGATCGATATATTATTTCCTTCGCGCGCGAGGTTACTAACATAAGTAAAAATGCATTTAGAAGGGGAGGATAAAGTTAAACGGTACGGTCCTGGCTGTATACATTTTTAAGTAGATGGTATCGGTGCTGGTAGTGGTGGTAGTGGTAGTGGTGGTGGTTGTTGTTGTTGTTCATTTTACTTCGACGAGAATGATGAGCATGCGTACTATACAGAAGAAGAAAAATAAAATTATATTCATATCGAAAGACGCGAACAATAGCGCAGTTATTGTATCGTCGCGTTACACGTTCATTTTAAGTGTTCTTATAGTGATATGGAATTTACCAAAGGTACGAGATTGATTGTGATTAAAAAAAAAAAAGAAAAAAAAAAGACATCTTAAAACGAAGCACACATTTTTATATCGTACTTCAACGCGTGTTTTCAACCATTCCTCAACAGATTTGGATTACGCAATCGGCTGGAACCGATTAAATCTTCAATTCCTCGGTGTATGGCCGGATTCGGATAAATTGGATAAAAACTTGGGCTTTACTAAATATCGTTGGATCGTTCACGCATTTTTCATGCTGGGATTTATAATCTTACCGCAATCAGCGTATTTGATAATAATCTGGGGTGATCTTGATTTAATGACGGAGGATTTAGCAACTGCAAACGTTCCTGTTACTATAGCTTGTTTCAAACTATTCATCATTTATTATCATTCGAAAAGTAAGAATTCGGTGAAACGCGCGGGAACAACGTTTATCGAATAACAAGTGATGATCATCAACATTTTATTTAATATACATTTGATGATGATAATAATCTATTCGCTTATTTTTCCTAGCACTTAATCCACTTCTAAGTGCTTTCTTTGACGATTGGAATAGATCAAAAAGTCATGAGGAAAGATCAATTATGCTGAGCAATGCTAGAAAGGCGAGAACGATATCGATGTTGTGTACAGTTATGATACAGATTATGACAACGATATACATACTTCTTCGAATCACTATGATATTGCAAATGCAAAGGGATCAAATGGAACCGGATCGAACACTCATTTGTCCTGCTTATTTTCCTTACGACGTTAGGAGAACTTCGGTATTTTATTTAACTTGTCTTGGACAAATATTAGCGGCTTACAGTGCTACGGTTTCTTATACAGGTGTCGATAGTTTTATCTCGATGTTAGTTCTTCACGTTTGCGCACAAATTTCAAATTTAAGGTTAACCCTTAAATCTTTGGCTGATGGAAGAACCTTGAAAGATAGGGAGACCGATAATTTCATCGAAAAATTAACGTTAATCGTTAAAAGACACGAACATCTCAATTGGTTGGTTTAATCATATCACATTTTTCATTATTGAAATTATATTTACACTTATGCGTTATCGAGTTTGATGATCGTCGATGTATTTTAAAGGTTCGCTCAAACGATCGAAAATTCATTCAACATTTTGATGCTCGTACAAATCCTTACTTGCACCATGCAAGTGTGTTTTCAAAGTTATCAAGTCAAGGCAGTAAGTTAAAGATCTGAAAAGAGAAAACAAAGAAACAATATAGTTGTCCATTTCATTTCAATGTTATACGTTCATTTTGTTTATTATCTTCCTTTTCTTTTTTTTCTTTTTTTTAGATATTAGGACAAAATAATGGCGAGTTTCCTACAGTTCAATTAAGTTTCTTAGTATTATTTGTTGCCGTTACTTTAATACATCTATACATTTATTGTTACGTGGGTGAAATGCTTATTGTTCAGGTAAAGGAAAATAACATTTAAATGTCAGTACGCGATATTTAACCTAGTTGTGTGATTAATTAGAGCTCCGGTATGAGTGAATCCGTATACGAATCTAAATGGTGCAACTTGTCTCCGAAGGAAGCAAGGAATCTTCTTTTCGTGATGCACCGATCAGCTATCCCACTTCGTTTGACCGCTGGAAAATTTAGCACGTTCTCCATGAAAACGTTTAGCGAGGTAAAAAAACAATAGATAGAAATACATCATTAATTCGATTCTAATTCTAATTATTATGTAAATTATATCTAATGTTTTATATTTTCTTTTCTTTTTCTTTTTTTTTGTTCTTTTCATAGATCGTAAGAACTTCGATGGGATATCTTTCGGTTTTATTGACAATATCGGAACACAGAGATTAATTCTGCAAAAAATGAAAACGCCATTCTAACAAACCGATAAAATAATAATCATTCATTCCAATATTTCGAAAATTACGAATTAAGATTGGTTAAATGGATATATATGATATAATTCTAATATATTCGTGTAATAAAAATAATACCGCAACTTCCTCTTACCATTTGCTGAATCTGAATTCGTCACGCACCAACGTTCGATTGAATATGACCACGAGAACGATGACCGAGCATTATTTCGTTTCGTTAACAAATTCACAAGAACCTGCACCCGTTCCCACGAGAAAAAGTATCCTTCTTCGGGTTTTTAAAATTATACAATGTAATAATACGAAGGGAAAAATGTTAGTCTACCAAATTGTACGTAAGCGAAAAATGAAAAAAAAAAACAAAATGAAAACACTACCAATCCACGAAACCTTTCTCATTTGGTATTTAAGCCCTATAGTTTTTTGTTTTGTTTTTTTTTTAGTCGACCGACTCAAACTTTTCGCGAGATTTATTCCTCAAAATTATATTCCAGTGTATACTAGAAAGAAAAAAAAATATAATCGATAATAATATGCATTAGCGATTCTTCTCACAAATAACGGGTTTCGCGTTATAAAGTTTGACCCTATTCATTAAAACTATCACCGCCGCATTGTTTTTCTTTTATATTTTTATGGAGCATGCGTGATATTCAACCCTTTTCGAGAAAACAAATTTACTTATAGTTCGTTCATACTCTTTCTCTCTCTCTCGTGTCTTAATCTATCGAAAAAATTTGACAATTTACTTTTATTCAAGTTTTGTATGCCGAACAAATATGGATTACGCTATTGGATGGAATCGTTTTAACTTGTCGGTATTAGGAGTTTGGCCGGAACCTACGAAAACAACGTTTACATGGCGATTAATATCAGCCATTATCTTTTGGACGAGTACGACTGTGACATTTTTGTTCATATGTGCACCACAAACAGCAGATCTGATTTTGAATTCAACAAGTTTGGACGAAGCTATCGAAAATTTATCTATCAACATACCAATCGTATTCGCTTTGATAAAACAAATCGTCTTGCGGTATCACGGTAAAGGTAAAATATCATAATTCATTTTATTTCATTTCATTTATTATTTGTATTTGTTGAATGTTGTTTTTCTTTTTTGCTTTTTTCTTGAATAAAGCTTTGAGATCATTACTCGTAGAAATACTTCACGATTGGACTGACAATAAAATGATACCTGATCCAGAACGTTTGACGATGTTGAAAAATGCTAAATTGAGTAGACGAATATCACTTTTCTGTTCAACTTTGACATACCTAATGTTGACAGCCTTTATATCGCTTCAAACGTATGCAAACATGGCTAGTGCATCCGAAGTAGATCTAGGAGGGCTATTGCATCCTGCAACATTTCCATACGATACCAAGAAAAGCCCTTATTTCGAGATCACTTGGATGGGACAATTTATGGGAACAGTTCTAACAGCTATATGTTATTCTTGCTTCGATACATTTCTCGCTGTTTTTGTTTTACATTTGTGTGGACAATTGTCGGTTTTGCAATTGAATTTAAAAGAATTGTCTAACTTAGCAAAACGTGACATAACATTATTTCAAAGTAGACTTGGATTCATTGTCAACAGGCACGAACAATTATATAAGTTAGTATTGTATATTCTTTTTTTTTTCTTTAAATACATTTTTTCTCATTTCCATTTGCAAATATTTTTCATCAAAATTTTGTCCAACATCGATCCAACGATAATGATGCCAATTTGATTTTGTCCAAAATATCAATTTAATCTATACCTTTATCAATCGAAATTTCTTTTTCGTTTCAAGATTCGCCATAATAGTTGAGGATTGTTTCAATCTAACCCTACTCGGACAAACTTTAATTTCCACAGCTATGTTTTGTCTGACTGGATATCGTATGATTACGGTATATAAAATGAAATATATCTTTTTTATAAAAAAAAAAAATACAAAAGAAAAGAAAAGATCGAACATTTCAATTTTGTTTGTTTTCCTAGTCGATGGGATCACAGGAACAGGAATTGCCAATAGTCGGACTGATATTTTTTGTTATTCACGTAATATACACGATGTTGCATTTATACATTTATTGCTACGTTGGTGAAACACTTCTAGTCGAGGTAAGTCAATAACAAAGTTGGCCTCTTACTCGTGCCCAGCTAAGAATTTATCAACTTGTGCCTTTAAGAGCACTGGAATAGCTTTCTCCGCTTACGATTGCGAATGGTATGACTTGCCACCTAAAAAGGCAATGTGCCTGATGATAGTAATTTGTCGAGCAAGAATAGCCTTTCAAATCACGGCTGGAAAATTTAGTCCATTTTCTTTAGAGTTGTTCGGTGCCGTGAGTATCACGAAAAATATTCTCTTATTCGGAAATATCATATATAATTTATTTTTAATTACAGATCATGAAAACATCTGCCGGATATTTATCGGTATTACTCGCTATGAAAGATCGTCTAATTGAAGAATAATTATTCACGTTATATATGATTTACCCGCGATTGACAAATAATTTGTAAAATATTAAATATCATTCCTATGTTACTTGTGTACTCTGTATGTAATTTTCTTTTTCATAACTTTGCCCTACCAAATTATCAACGTATTGCTAATAAAAATTAATTAAAACAATAAAAAAAAAAAGAAAAAAACAATTATGCAGTACAAAAAAAAAATTAAAAACTCAACGATCTTGCAATAGAAATGTACGAATGTTGATCGCTAAAAAACAAAATGAAATACCTTTTCAATTATGAATAATTTTCGTAGACACTTCCTGTGTTATTTCGCAGCACATCTGGACTTCAATTCACTTATCCGTTTTATTCCCCTTTGTTAATATCGGGAAATACTGAATATATGTTATTACGTATAATAATGTACAAGGGATTACAAAGCGTTGAAAATGGGGAAGGTTGGATATGGAAACTTCAACGAGGTTGCTTATTTAAATGCGTTCGGTATATTATAAGGGAAGATAAAATCGTACTACGAGATTCCAAGTAGATTAATTATTAAATACCCAGTGATGGATACTTCATTTTAGTTTGACGAGCATGCGTGTTGGAAAAATAAAAAGGGAAGGACATCTATGTCGTATGACGAACTAGAAACGCGCAGTCGTTGTTTCGTCGCGTATTACAATCGTCATACGATGCCAACAGGATTCGAAGAAGGTACAATTTTTCAGTGTAATTTTTTAAATTTCCCTCCAATAAATAAGAAAAGGAAAAAAAAAGTCTTTAAATATTTTTAACTTTTCGTTTATACCCCAACGCGAGTTATTATTCCTTTCACAGATTTGAATTATGCAATTGGCTGGAACCGATTCAGCTTAAAAATACTTGGAATTTGGCCTGACTCAAAATACGCCGAAAGTGATCCCACTTTATCGAAATATTGGTTCATTGTCCATTCATTTTTTATGTTCGGATTTATAACATTACCACAATCGGCGTATCTTCTGATGATCTGGGGTAACATTGAACTGATGACAGAAATTTTAGCGACTGCCAACGTACCCATTACCATGTCTTGCATTAAATTGTTGTTCGCGCGATATCATTTGGAATGTAAGTGAGATTTCGGTGATACGTAACAGTGTTTTATATCACACACACCCACACACACACACACACGAGTGATGGAAAATAAATAAAAAGAAATAATAAATTGTTTCCAGCATTGAGACCACTTCTAAGTTCATTTGTCGAAGATTGGAAAAGACCGAAAAGTGAAAGCGAGAGATCAGTCATGTTGGATAACGCTAAAAAGGCAAGAATCATATCGATATGGTGTACAACGTTAGCACACTTCATGACTTCGATTTATATTATACCTCGAACCTTAATGATTGCCCGAATGCAGAGAGATCAATTCGAACCACAACATACGGTCGTCTATCCAGCTTATTTCCCATATGACATTAGTGAAACACCGACCTTTTGTATTTCGTGTTTCGGACAAATCGTAGCAGCGTACAGCGCTACCGTGTCATACATAGGCGTAGACACGTTCATTACAATGTTGGTCCTTCATGCCTGTGCCCAAATTACAAATCTAAGGCGTGCACTTGAAAATTTACCGAACAATCAATTTACCGAAATGGCCAATAATTTTACGCAGGAATTGAAGTGGATCGTGAAGAGACACGAACATCTCAATTGGTTGGTCTGTCTATCGAATGTGTTTATTTTATCGATGATTCATTATGCGATTGTGATTAATTATTATTATCATCCAAGGTATGCCAAATCGATCGAGAATTCGTTTAACTTGTTGATGCTCATTCAAATACTGGCTTGTATCATTCAAGTGTGCTTTCAAACATTTCAATTATTTCGCGTAAGTCGATTGCATAAATGATTTATATTATATTTTTGTAATTATTTAATATGGGCTTTTTTATTTCCTTTTTTGTTTTTGTTTTCGTAGATAATGAAACAGGATGGGGATGAATTTCCTGTAGAACAATTGTTTTTTGTTGTATTATTTGTAGTTGTTACATTGGTACAACTATATTTGTATTGTTACGTTGGAGATATGCTTATCGTTCAGGTTAACAAAATATTTTTTGTATATATTTAAATTATATAGGAACTATGCATTATGTGATATGTGTTAAACAGAGTTCCGAAATGGGCATGTCAGCATACGAATCGCAATGGTGTAACTTGCTCCCTAAGGATGCACGAAATATTCTTTTCGTAATGCATCGATCTTCGATTCCACTTTGCTTAACAGCCGGAAAATTTGGCACATTTTCGATGGAAATGTTTTCCAACGTGAGTGACAAAAATTCATTTATCTAGACGCATTATTATATCTTTTAAAAATATTTTTTGTACATTTGCAGATTTTGAAAACGTCAATAGGATATCTTTCAGTGTTGCTAACAATATCAGATAACAAGAAATAATTTGATACAATTGATAATAAATGGAATAGAAATAAATGATACGAATTTCATTTTTATTCGCGTAACTATTACGTGATCGCACAGTACAAGATTTAACTGAATAATCTTAACGAATGTTTGAAATAATTTTCAAGGACCCCGTAAAGTAGCTACAATTTTGCATATTCGTTTGGAAAAAGAACTTTGCAATTTGGCATGATAATTTTTATTTGTTTAAGTCCCTGAAATTTATTTTTACAATTTGTGTACAAACCATTCGGATAAATTCTATTTATAATGATTATATATATTATTTATACAATTTTAAATATTTAATTAAATTATATACGTATATAAATATTTTTTGAGACGTTATGTTATAATACATTCCTATAAATAAAGGAATTACGATCTGACTTTCTTCATTGTCATTTAACAATTATATATAATCGTACTATACGAAAGTATATTACAATTACATAATTCTTAAAGAAAAACGGTATGAACAAATTTCCATCGTTTTAAAAACAAACGTCGATAAAGTAACATAGCTAAAGAAAACTTGTTCTAACCACCAGAGTCAAGTGGTGTCGATGGTTTAGGTTTTCTAACGATAGAGGGACTTGTTTTAATGCACCCCTCCCCTCCCACACTCTTATAATTTTCATCTCAATTGTATGTAAATATTTAACAAAAAGCTTTTGTCAAAATTTCGTCAAAGATGATGGACAACATTGAAATTTGGAATTAACGAAAAAATTAAAATCACGTAAAAATGACAATTTTTCCCAAGTAATCGTAATCGAGATCGATTCGATTTTGAAACGCAAATCATTTCCTATGGTTACTGTTTATTTTCATAGAGCATGCGCCAAGAACACATATATGTTAGAAGGACATAGCTCGCGAAATACGAAAGAAATGAATTCGAGATCAGTCCTAGACGTGTCTCGGACGCATGAACTAACTCGTGCTTAAAAAAAAAAAACAAGAAAAAAAAAGAAACAATTATAAGAATCAATTTTAATAAATCGATCTAATTTTAAATGAAATTACAATGAACATACAAAAGGTGTCAAAAATTGATTACGCTTGTGGATGGAATCGTTATACCATGAATTTCATAGGGATTTGGCCAAACGAAAGAAGACTCGATCAAATTTCAAGCTACAAAATTTTGACGCCAGTATGCTTGATGTTCTGTTTCATCTGTCTACCTCAAACGGTTAATCTATTCTTCGTCTGGACCAATTTTAATCTCGTCGTAGAAAATTTATCGATGGGTAACATATCCGTCACGATAGCACTACTTAAAACTATCTTTTTCTGGTTGAATGGACAATGTAAATAAATAATACATTTTTTAAATATATAGATATATATTAAATTAAATTATATATTAATTAAAAAAGAAAAGAAAAAAAAAAAAACATTGAAGAAATATGATAGAAAAATTGGATTGATTATAGAACAAAAAATTCCTTCTCCATGCAAGCTCTCAAATATCTTCTATCGTTAATGGAAGAAGATCAAAAAGGTGCAACAACCGAAGAGGAATCAAGGACGATAAGGAACACCGTAACTATTTCGAGAAAAATATCGATCAGAAGTACACTCATGTGTCTAAGTGTCGTCATTGTTTACGCTATACTACGCTACGTCACTATACTGCATACCGGTCGAAATCTTTTATTTCGAGCATATTTTCCTTACGATACACGAATCAGTCCTAATTACGAGCTAACATTTATAGCACAATTAATAGCAGCATTCTATGCTGCAACATCTTACACAGCTGTAGACACATTCATCGCAATGTTAGTTCTACATATTTGTGGACAACTTTCAAATTTGAAACGAGAGTTGATAAATCTACGATCTATGACCAGTGACGAGTTCAAAACTAAACTAACCAACATCGTCGAGAAACATGATTATCTTAACAGGTATGATGTTAAAAAAAAAAAAAAAAGAAAAAGAATTGAAATTTATGTTAAATTAAATTAAAATTTTGTTAGGTTCGTTGATACGATCGAGAATCGATTTCACATAATGCTATTGATTCAAATATTGGGATGCACCGTGCAATTGTGTTTTCAATGTTTCCAAGCACTTTTGGTAAGATATAATAATTGTAATATGATCAGATTTGAATTAATATTTTTAATAATAATTTTAGTATTTGAGTATTTTTAATATTAATATTATATAAAAACTGTCAGTATATATCGTAATAAAATATCAATTTTATCAAATATATCCCGTATAACGTAACTCTATTCCGATTATATAAATAATTTATTTAAAAATATTGATCAAATAAATAAATAAATGGAGCTTGTTTATATTAATTACAGTCGTATATCGAAGGACCAGATGAATTATTTATTTTGGAAGTATCGTTTCTAATGCTCTACATATGTTACATTTTAATTCAGCTTTATCTTTATTGTTACGTTGGCGAAAGACTACTTTCGGAGGCAAGTTAATTTAAAAATGAAATATACAAGATATAAAGTTTAAAAATAATAATATTTCAGAGCACGGATATCCTGCAAGCTGTTTACGAATCTGAATGGTACAATTTAAAACCGAAAGAATCAAAATCACTTTTAATGATCATGTATCGCGCAAGATCACCATTGTATCTTTCAGCTGGTAAATTTTGTACCTTCACACTAGAATTATATAGTAGTGTAAGTATAAAATATTCTAAAAAAAAATATTAAGACTCTCAAATATATTATACTAACGATTCAATTTTAGATTTTGAAGACATCGATGGGTTACATATCGGTTCTTTATGCAATCAAAATCAAAACTTCAACATGAACAACAATCAACACACGCTTCAAATTGTTATATAAAATATTATTATTTCAAAGAGTAATATATTTCACAATATTATTTCTTATAAATTCAGTAAAGAGCTTCTATTATAATTATCACGTAAATTAGTTTCCCTAATGATAGATCGTACGTCGGTAAGGTAATATATCCGAAGGAATATCTGATAAGGAGCCCTTAACTAACCGCAAGAGTCGAGGTGCGCAGAACACAATGACATGTTTCGATTTTCTTGGTATAGAGGGACACTTATTTAAAGGAACACCAAGGATGATTCCAAAGTTTCCATTAGAAATATTCTTAATTGTTTAATTTGTCAATAAACAAATGAAAATAAATAAAAACTGTGTTAATCGTTAAAACAAAATTCACGATAAATTCAATTTATAATCGAGTCAATATAAATTAGAATTAAATGAAAACTTAAGTTGTTATAAGTATAATATTCGAGTATTCTCAGTGATAGTGAGCATGCGCTAAATAAATAGAGACGATTGAAATAGCTAAAGGAACTGAGAATATCAGTTCTTGATAGATCGTTCTCCCGAGAACCTAACATGGATTTTAATCCAGGTATAAATTAACAAAAAACATTTAATATTTCTAATCATACGTGTCACATTTCGTATTTCGAATAATATTTTTTTTGTCTTTTTTTGTTTTTTCATTTAAATAACACTATCATTAATAAAATTCAATCGATCAATTTGCATGTCAAAGTTTCATACGTGGATTACGCATCTGGTTGGAACCGGTACACCATGAAGTTCATAGGGATTTGGCCGGAAGAAAGAAAATTTAATCGAGTTTCAAGCTACAAAGTGCTAATACCAATTAGCCTTATGTTTTTTTTTATGGCTGCACCACAAACCATTAATCTTTATTTCATATGGGGTGACTTCAATTTAATCGTGGATAATCTTTCGGTGGCTAACATTACTGTTATCATCGCGCTTATTAAGATGATCACCTTTTGGTTCAACGGAAGAAGTAATTATTATGTTTCATTTTATTTTTTATACAATTTACTATAATTAACTAGCAAAGGAAAGATAACCAGGTATTCCTGATGCTTTTTATTTCAAATCTATGCATAAATATTATGCATATAGATTATATTAAAAATATTATGCATTTAAATATTATAATATATATTAAATATTACACATTTTTTAAAATGTCTTCTTCCTTTATTGGTAAATTCTTTATTGTACAAAATACAATTTATTTATTTTATCAGTATTTATAAAAATAATTTGGATCATTCTGTAATACGAATGTTCGTAATAATTTGTCGGAAAAAGATTCTCCCGTCAAGATTATATATTAATATTTAATTATAAATTCCGATCAAAAATATTTTATTGAATACTGAATAAATAATGACTCTTCTTAAAAGTTGAATTATAAATTGATTTTTTGTTTGTTCCGATCGATGCGTAAGCTATCAAGATTCTATTGTCTTTCATGGTGGACCATCGAAAAGAGGCAAAGACGGAAGAAGAAATCAACAAAATGACTAAAATTGCTAAAATATCAAGGAGAATATCAATTGGAAGTACAGTGATAACTAACAGCGTAGTTGTACTTTGGGCTATCTCACGATTCTTGTTGATGCGTCGTACCGGTCGTGCATTATTCTTACAATCATATTTTCCCTACGAGACATTGGTCACACCAAATTTTCAAATAATATCAATTGGACAAATAATATCTGCCTTTTATACAGCAACAACTTACACGGCTGTCGACACTTTCGTTGCAATGTTGATATTTCACGTGTGCGGACAATTAGCAAATCTTCGGCGACAATTGAAAAACATTTGCAACGATAAAAATGGAAATTTCAAACAAAATTTTGCCGATATCGTGAAGAAACATGATTGCCTTAACGAGTGAGTTAACAAAATAATTATTTTATTTGTATTAATAAACTCGGGAATGAGTTTTTTTCTTAACAATGATTAGGATACATTTCGTTTGTTTAGATTTGCCAACACGATAGAGGAAAAATTTAATAGAATGTTGTTGATGCAAATGCTCGGTTGTACCGTAAAACTATGCGTTTTATTCTTCCAAGCACTTTTGGTAACAACAACAACAACAACAACAAAGATTCCAAGTAAAAATTTCATAAAATTATAATATTAACGTGTTTATAATTATTCTAGTCGATTACTGAAGAAAATCAAGAACTGCTCGTGTTTCAAATATGCTTCCTAACACTTTACATATGCTATATTCTGTTACAAATTTATCTTTATTGTTACATAGGAGAAGAATTAGTATCAAAGGTATATTTGTATTTATTTTTATTTCAATAATTCTTTTTTTGTTTTTTTAATAATTTACCTTTATTGTTTAGAGCAATGAAATGGCCGACGCAGCATACGAGTGCGAATGGTACAACATAACTCCAAAACAAAGTAAATATCTTATTTTAATGATTCGTCGAGCACGATCACCATTACACATAACCGCTGGTCGATTTTGTTCATTCAATCTTCTTCTTTTTACCAAAGTGAGCAAGGAAAAACAATTCGTAACTATTTCGTAATTATTTATTCATTTGATTTTCTATTCTACAGATTTTAAAAACGTCCATGGGTTATTTGTCTGTCCTGTATACAATGAAAGCCAAACACGTAGAATAAATTTTACACGTTAGTCTAAATAATTAATTCTAAAAATTCAATTAAGGTATCCTATTATATATATATATATAGTATTCGAGGTTTCATATAAATTAGAAATAATTCATGATTCCGAATGAAACGTGTATATCAAAAACTTTGATCGGGAAGAAATTATTATATCGTTTCGTGAAATATTTATTTTCTAATTTAATATAAAAAGAAAAAAATAATATATATAAAATGTTATAAAATACGAAAGTCAGTTCGACGTCGATAAAGTAACGTGCCTGCAATGTGGATACTAATCGAATAACCATATGAGTTAAAACACGTACAAGTATCAGGCTTAGAACTTTTTAAACAAAATTTAGAAAAACACTTATCAATAATATTTAAATGTAAAATAAGAAAAACCTTAAACTCGCGCATGAATATTTGTTGATCTTTTATAACACACCTGCGCGTAAAACATACTATAACAAAATATATGAAAAATATTGAAAAAGCTTAAATGAAAATATATGTACGAAAAAGTGATATATACAAAAATTACTATAAAAAAGATTAAGGATAATAAATTACGTCGGTAAGGTATCATGCACAAACACAATACAGACATTAACATAGTAACCGAGTGAGATATATTGAAATGTGTTATGAGATTGTTTAGTATTCCTTACTATAGATGGCCATATTCAGCATGATCCTTAATAATTATTATTCGAATTTTGAGACATATAAAATAAAATTCTTAATTTGTTTTCGTTGTTATATAACTTATTAAACAACAATGATAACACCTGCGAACGTGAATTATTTGTAACATAATTTAAAGAACAACAATTGAGAAGTATAAGAATTCAATCGTGATTGATGTTATGGAGCATGCGCTAGAAATAAGCGCTTTGAACGTAGAAAATCTTTGGAGGATTAGTTCTTGATACGTCGTTGTGACGATAGCTTACATGGATGTTGATCGAGGTATTAAATTATTAATCCAAAATATATTAACATTAAATTATTATAACAAAATATATTACGTTAAATTAAACAATCCAATAAAAAAAAAACAAAAATAAGAAATATTTCTTGATTTTTTACAATACTTCTCGTTCAATATATATAAAATTTCAATATTTAATATTAATTTTCAATTAACAATATTTACATATTATCTCGATCGATTAACATATCAAAGTTTCCTACGTGGATTACGCCTGTGGTTGGAACCGAAAAATTATGAAGTTCATGGGAATTTGGCCGGAAGAAAGAAAAGTCAACAATGCGTCCAGTTACAAAGTGTTATTCCCCATCGGTTTTATGATACTTTTCATTACCATACCACAAACAACTAATCTCTACTTTATATGGGGTGATTTCGAATTAATCGTGGAAAATCTATCGGTTGCAAACATGACTATTACGATTGCTGTATTGAAAACAGCTACTTTTTGGTCCAACGGTAGATGTAATTATAAACATTCAAATTATTTCTCTTAAAAACAAATAATATATTATTTTCTAAATATAATAGAATTTTGTTGAATTATTTCTACAAATTTATTACCAGCCATGAAGGTACTCTTAACGCATATGGAAAATGATCGAAAAGAAGCCAACACCGAAGAAAATATAACGAAAATGACAAGAATTGCTGACGTTAGCAGAACTATAACAGCTGGAAGTATAATAATGTGTAATTTTCTTGTCATACTCTATGTGACATTAAGAATCGTTTTGTTACCATACACCGGACGATCACTTTTTTATAGTGCTTATTTTCCATACGACACACGGCACTTTCCAAATTTCGAATTAACTCAAATTGGTCAAGTTACAGCAGCATTTTACGCGGCCAATAGTTACACAGCTGTGGATACATTCATGATGATGTTGGTGTTACACGTGTGCGGACAATTTTCAAGCCTCAGAAAACAATTGTCCAACTTGTGTTGCGTAGACAAAAATCATTTTCAAATTGATCTGATCAAAATTGTGGAAAAATATGATATGCTCAACAGGTGAGAAGAAAATAATAAGAGAATAAGAAAATGTTTTTTTAATTTTTCATTAAAAAGTTTACTTCATAGTTATGCTGAAACAATCGAAGATAGATTCAACAACATGTTGCTTATGCAAATGATCGGTTGTACTGTACAACTCTGCGTTCAATCGTATCAAGCAATTTCGGTAAAAAAAAAAACTCTGAAATTAATTATGTGTATTCATTTGATATTTCAAGAAAATAATATCAAATTCATATGTGAGTATTCTAGGCACTTGTTGACGATGATCAAGGATTATTGATAGTCCGATTATTCTTTTTTGCGGTATACACAACATACGTCATGCTTCACATTTATTTGTATTGTTACGTCGGTCAGAAACTTTTTACCGAGGTAAATCATTTCATTTATATATTTATTGATACAAAAATAAAAATCATAAATATAACATCGTAGGGTACGGAAATGGCTTATGCTGCATATAATTGCAACTGGTATAATTTATCACCAAACGATGCTAGATGTCTAACAATAATAATGTCACGAGCACAAATATCATCGCGTATTACGGCAGGAAAATTTTGTTCTTTTAATCATGTACTTTTTAGCAACGTGAGTTAACGAATTTTATAATATTCTCTTTCTCTTGTTATAATAAATAATATTTTTCTTAATCTAATATTTTATGCTTTAACAGATTTTGAAAACATCCATGGGTTACTTGTCCGTCCTGTATGCGATGAAAACCAAAGATATGGAGTAAAATATTCAAAATAATTATTTAAACTAACATTAGATATATAACTCAATTTTTTACAATAATATTACGATAATTTAAACCAACGATCTAACGATCGTACCTTTGTTTTTTAACTTTCTATCGATTTATATCGTGAAATCTTAGATTAAAAAGATTTTACTTTACGCTGATCACACAATGGCATCGTCGGTAAGAAAAAAATGATGTATGGAATCTCTCTCAATAAAGTAACCACAAGAGTTAAGGTATATTTCAAGTAACTAGGGGCTTAGAAATTCTTACCATAGAGGGATCTGTTTTAAAACAATCTAATTCATAACTACGGCAAAGTACTCAAACATGAAAATATTAATAATTGAAACACCGAATCAATTTCATTCAAAATAATAATAAAAAATACTATTCACATTTTTACTCTTTGACAATAAAAATTATTTAAGAGATATAAATTTATAAAATTCTTAATATAAAAAGAAATGATAATAAACAACAGTCCTTAAAGAGCATGCGCTAAGAAGAAATACACTTGAAACAAAAATCAACCGAGGAGGATCAGTTCTCGATACGTCGCAGTAACGGAAGAACCTACATGGATGTATCCCGAGGTATAATAAATTACCTGACAAAAAAAAAACAAAAAAATTATATAAAAAAAAAAAAAGCATTCGATCAAATTCATCATTAACGAGATTATAATATTATTAGTTTCATCAAATCATTAGAACTTCTTACCTTCTGTTTATATATGAATAACTTACTAATACTTTGTCGATTGATCTCAACATGCTAAAGTATCCTACGTGGATTATATTTGTGGCTGGAATCGTTACTCTATGAAGATTTTGGGAATTTGGCCAAAAGAAAGAAAAATCAATGAAACATCGAGTTACTTGGTCCTTCTACCACTTAGCATGATGTTACTAATCATCAACGTACCGCAAACAATAAATCTCTACTTCATATGGGGTGATATCGATCTTATTATCGAAAACTTGTCGATTGGAAATATGACCGTGTTAATTGCGGTCTTGAAAACAATTATCTTTTGGTTCAGTGGAAGATGTAATTAAACGTATATAATTATATTAGATTAATTTTTTTCTTTCGGAAATTCGTATATACGTGTCTTCTTATAAAAAATTAATTATTCGATATTATATAAAAAAAAAAGAAAAACAAATATTTTTTTTCTTTTCTTTAAATTTTCTATAATATAAATAATACTTATAGAAAGAAGAAAAAAAAAAAAGAAAGATTCGTCATGAAAATAAATTTTCTTTTTAACGAATTATATTACTCAAGCCATTAGTGTTCTCCTATCAAACATGGAAAAGGATCGAAAAGAAACTAATGCCAAGGATGAAGTTAGAAGAATGATGAGGATCGCGAATATTTGCAGAAAGATATCTATCGGTTGTACTTTAACTTATTACATGGTCATCATTCTTTTCATCATTCTACATTTGTTATTTATACGTTATATCGGTCGAGTTCTTATAATACGCTCATATTTTCCATACAATATACAATCAACACCGAATTACGAGTTAACCATTTTTGCTCAAATCTTGGCTGCATGGTGCACAGGCGGAGTTTATACATCGGTAGATACTTTTGTGGCTACTTTAGTGTTTCACTTGTGCGGACAACTGAACAATTTGAAACATAATTTACGCGATTTGTATTCACACGATGGCAATGAAATTAAATTGAAAATTGCTAAAATCGTTAAGAAACACAATTCTTTGAACAGGTACATATATATTTTTTAAAACCAAAACAATTTTTCGTTTTTTTATTCATTTATATACGTATGATTTAATGAAATCGAGTATAACGATGTTTAATTAATGTTTTACTTGGATTTATTTGAATTTCAGATTCACCGAAACAATCGAACAAAAATTCAATGTCATGTTACTGTTGCAAATGCTCGGCTGTTCGTTGCAACTTTGTGTTACGTCTTTCCAAATACTTATGGTAAAATTTTAAATAAATAATATATATTTAAAATGTTAGTATATAGAATTTAAATATCATTACAATTATTACTAGGCCCTTGAAAGAAAAAATGGAGTTATCCTAGCTCAAACAACTTTCTTGTCGGCATACCTAATATACATATTGCTTCAAATATACCTGTACTGTTACATCGGTGAAAAACTCATTTCAGAGGTAAATCAAATTCACTTAAAATCAATTTCTTACATTTCGATTTTTCTTGATTTCTTTTTTCTTTTTAAAGAAAATTTTTGTCACAAATTGTTACGATTTTTAGAGCATTGGAATTTTTGACGCTGCCTACGAATGCAAATGGTATACTTTACCTCCCAGTGAAGTTAAATCATTGATGATAATCATGATTAGAGCCAAAGTACCACTTCGCATAACTGCAGGAAAATTTTGTTCATTCAAATATCAACTTTTCTGCAATGTGAGTTACAATATCGTGTAATTATTTTCTACTAGATTAAAAAAAAAAAAACAAAAAATAATAAAAAAAGTAACTTTTTATCAAATACCTATGACAGATTTTGAGAACGTCGATGAGTTACTTGTCGTTACTTCATGCAATGAATATCGTAAATACCGAATAAAATAAGCAAGTATATCAAAATGTATTATTATCTATTGTTGAAAAAAGTGAAATATATAGAAAATAATTTGATTATTTTATTTCTATTCTAATAATTCGTAAAAGCATAACACACAATATTGTCGATCATAGATTTTTGTCAATTTTTATTGATTTATATTTCTGAAAGTATTACTTCGAAGAGTATAATACTTAAGGCTGGTAACACGATACATCAATGTCGATAACGTAAAATATTTCCATAAATCTTAAAAGAAAGTGACCGCTGGAGTAACAATGCAAAGAAAAAGAAATATCAAAAGACTTAGAAATTTGTACAATAGAGGGATCTGTTTGATATGATCTTACGTACCTATAGCTATAACAAATTATTTCAAACGGAATAACAACAATAATTTCTATATACAATAAATCCAATTTCATTGGAAATAAATCATCCTAAAAAAAAATAATATCTTCTTTTAGCTTAATAATTAAAATTATAGTTTTCACTAATCATTTAATCAAAAAATATTTAAATATACATAGATAATACTATAAGAGTTGTCATAGAGCATGCGCTGAAAAGGAATACTTCAAACAGAAATCAAACTGGTAGGATCAGTTCTTGATACGTCGTTGTGACAGAAGTCGACATGGATGTGACCCAAGGTATAATGAATTACCTAAACAATTTACATTTAAAAAAAACAAAAAAAAAATACATTGAATAAAATTCATCATTAATCCAATTAACATATATATCAAGCCTATCATTAGTTTCATCGAATCATTTAGGAATATGATTTTAATTAATATAAACCATTACTAATACATTGTTGATCGATCGATGCAATTAAGTTTCCTACGTGGATTACATTTGTGGCTGGAATCGTTACACCATGAAGCTTTTGGGGATCTGGCCGGAGGAAAGAAAATTTCATCGATTATCCAGTTACATTGTTCTAATTCCACTCGGCTTAATGATACTATTCATCAATATACCACAAACAATAGATCTCTACTACGTATGGGGTGATATCGATTTGACCGTCGAGAACTTGTCGGTTGGAAACATGACCGTGTTAATTGCTGTCTTGAAGACAACTATCTTTTGGTTCAGTGGAGGATGTAATTACATTGTTTAATTATCATTTCTTTTATATTGTTATTAAAATAATAATTTAAAAAAATATTTTCTTTTTTATTTTCGTTTCTTTTTCTTATTTTTTCTTAACTCTCAATTAAGGTAACTTCTTTCTGATTCGCATTGAAATTTTTTATTATACTTGATAAAAAAAAATATTAAAAAAAAAATGATCTACGATCGAAAGATTTACTTTTTTTTTTTGATTGCAATTAATTGCATTACTCAAGCTATAAATATGCTACTATCCCATATGGAAAAGGATCGAAAAGAAACTAATAACGAAGAAGAAATAAGAAGAATGATGAGGATTGCTAATGTTTGCAGAAAAATTTCTATTGGAAGTACATTAACTTATTTCCTAATCGTTATACTCTTCGTTGTTATTCATCTACTATTAAATATCTACAAGGGACATGTTCTCATATTACGGTGTTATTTTCCATACGACAAACTTTCGACACCTTATTACCAGTTAACGATTATTGGTCAAACAATGGCTGGATATTGCACTGGTAGTACTTACACGTCTGTTGATATTTTCGTGGTTATATTAGTGTTTCATGCTTGTGGACAATTATCTAATTTGAGACAACAGCTTAAAAATTTGTGTCAGAAAAATGATTACGAATTTAAAACTAAACTTGCTCAAATTGTACAAAAACACGATTCTTTGAACAGGTATATATTTGTTTAGAAATTTAATTTTTGTTCACGATTTAAAATATATATTTAGACAAACTTTTTAATAACACGTACTGTAATGATTTTTTCTGTAAATAAGTATATTGTTTCTTTTTTTTTTTCATTTTTTAGATTCGTCAATATTATTGAAAAAGAATTCAATGGCATGTTACTGTTGCAAATGCTTGGTTGTTCAATACAACTTTGCGTTACGTGTTTCCAGACAATTTTGGTAAGATTTCAAGTAAATTTCTGGATATAAAAGAATATTAGTTTAAATTAAATTATATTTATTATTATTATTATTATTATAGGTCGTTGGAAGTGGTAATAAAATGGTTTTTATCCAAATATTATTTTACGGATTCTATTTGATATACGTTTTGCTTCAAATTTGTCTGTACTGTTATATTGGTGAAAAACTCATTTCAGAGGTAATCAATTTTTGTATGTTAAATATTACTCTCAAAAAAATGACAACAATTATGACGTTTGATTGAATAATAGAGCATTGGAATTGTCGATGCAGTGTACGAATGTCAGTGGTATCGTTTTTCACCTGATGAATCTAAATCTTTAATGATTATTATGTTACGGGCACGAATACCTCTTCACATAACAGCGGGAAAATTTTGTTCGTTCAGTCATAAACTTTTTGGCAACGTAAGTATTACAATATTTGACTTCTTTTATATTTACAAGATAAATAGTTCTTCGTAAAAAAAATTTATTGAATGCGCAGATTCTAAAAACATCGATGAGTTATTTATCAATGCTACACGCGATGAATGTTGTAAATACAGAATAAAATGTGTAAATATAAATATATATTGAAAATTGTACCAATTAAGAGTAAGTTATTAAAATAATTAATTATATTTTACGAAATATTGATTATTATCTTTTTAAGAAATTATTAATTATGTAATTCCTATATGTCCCCCTCAAAATGATTTGTATTAAGCAAACAATTCTTTCAATGCATAAGAAAAGATTAAATCAATATTTTGGACGTTGGAAATGTGTTGGAAAAATATTAGAATTCAGTAAATTTGGGATGGTACAATTTTTGTTTGAAACAATTAAATTGAATATAAATAATTATGCATTGATGATAAATAATTGTTATGATTTGCATGTGACAAAAAATAATGTAATTTTAAAACGTATAACTTTCTAATCGTAATCTACAAATGGAATATTTCTTTTACATTGATTTATAATTACATTATGTTTGTGACGAAAAATAAAGATTTAAAATTGACGCTAAATTTTAAATCAACTATTACATCTACTTAAAAGTATATGAAATAATATTCAAAACGTGTATTAAAATTTGGTGAAGTTTACTTATCATATATTTTGGTATGTTAATACCTATCGATTTATATTTTAAAACAATACCTCAAAATACTTAATGCTGGTAACAAAATGCATCGTCGATAACACAACGAATTTCCGTAAATCTTAGATCACCATAACCACTAGAGCAACAATATGTAAATAACAAGTTACTTAGAAACTTTCACCATAGAGGGATCTGTTTCATATGACTATAAAAATAGCTATAGCATTCACACACAAACAAACATAAAAATAAAAATATATTTCTTATAAATAAACGCGCGTAGGGGGACCATAATCGACAACTAAAGGACACATGCATTTATCAATTTTATAAACGAAAGTTATTAACGACATTAAATAAATATTCATTCCAAATATGTATATATAACATAGCACAGCAAGTATATTCCCATAGAGCATGCGCTAGAAAATATTTCTTCAAATAGAGAAATATACTAACAAGGATGATCAGTTCTCGTTACGTCGTTGTGACAGAAGCTTACACATGGATGAGCCCGAAGGTACAATGAATTACTGAACAAATAAAAATTGAAAAACCAAAAAATAAAAAAAATAAAAAACAAAACAAACACCATCAAAATTCATCACCAATCAATAGTTCGTACTAATCGTTAGTTTCATCAATATCATTAAATATTATATATTATCCATATTTATACACGATTATTATAATTCTACATCGATCGGTCAACGTAATAAAGTTTCCTACGTGGATTACATTTGTGGCTGGAATGGTTACTACCTGAAAATTTTGGGAATCTGGCCTGAGGAAAGAAAATTTAATCGACTATCCAGTTACATTGTTCTAATGCCACTCGGCATGATGATAGTATTCATCAACATACCGCAAACGGTAGATCTTTATTACATATGGGGTGATCTCGATGCGATCGTCCAAAATTTGTCAATTGGAAACGTAATCGTGTTAATTGCGGTATTAAAGACTATCATCTTTTGGTTTCATGGAAAATGTAATTATAAATCTTATTTCAATTTCAACATTTCATTATTTTTAATTCTTATACGATTAATATTTATAATTCGGATTTTTATTCGTCAATAATTATTTGATTATAAATCAAAATATTTAGAAAATAAAATACAGAAATTAATTTCTTTTTTTTTAAATTAATTACATTACTCAAGCCATTCGTACGCTGCTAATAATTATGGAAGAAGATCGGAAAGAAGCAAGTACCGAGGAAGAAGTGAGAACGATGATGAGGACCGCAGAAATTTGCAGAAAAATATCCTCTGGATCTATTTTAACGTATACCATACTTCTCTTTATATTCATCACCCTGCAAATTCTTTTAGTTTATATTGTCGGACGTGTTCTCATATTGCGTTCATATTTTCCGTACAACATACAACAGACACCGAATTATCAGTTAACTATTATTGCTCAAATGACGGCTGCATATTTAACAGGCGGAACTTATACTGGTGTAGACATTTTTGTAATTACTTTAGTGCTTCACGCATGCGGACAATTTGAAAATTTGATACAACGATTACGCAACATGTCTACTAAAACGGACGATGATTTTCAAACTAAGCTCGCTCAAATTGTTCAAAAACACAATGCTTTAAACAGGTATATATGATTTATTTTTATTGAATTTTTTTTTGTTTTTCATTTTTTTTTTTTTTAATTATAATTTCTAATCATTCGCGCGCGTAATCTTTTCTCAATTTTTGTTTGCAGATTCATCGAGACGATCGAAGAACAATTTAATGATATGTTATTATTGCAAATGCTATGCTGTACGATTTTACTTTGCGTTACATGCTTCTTGGCAACATCGGTGAGATGTTTAAATAAAAACTATTAGATTTGTTTAATTGAAAAATTAAAAAAAAAAAAAAAAAGAAAACATTTGGATGATTGTGTTTTTGATTCTAGTCAATCGGAAGAAACAATAATATGATGACAGTTCAATTAATGTTCTTTATGGTATATTTAACACATATTTTGCTTCAAATGTTTTTGTATTGTCATATTGGTGAGAGACTACTTTCCGAGGTAAATGATTTTATTTTCAATTCTTATGTTAACGGAAGAAAAAGAAAAAGAAAAAAAAATAATTCGATATTATATAGGGTACAGGAATTATCGATGCTACATATGAATGTAAGTGGTATACTTTACCACCCAATGAAGCTAGATCATTAATGATAATTATGGTTAGAGCACGAATACCACTGCAGCTTACAGCTGGTAAATTTTGTCAGTTCAGTCATAATCTTTTTACTAATGTAAGTAAAAAATATAACACATTTGTATAAGTGGATGAATTGAAAAATTTTCAATCTAATATAGGAAACAATTATTTCGATCGAACTTATTTTTATTTGACTAAAGAAATGAAAATTTTTATTTGCTAAGGATGAAAACTGTTCAATTCAGCCCTTGTATATTAAATATATATATATATATATAATTCATTATAATACATATACTCTGCAGATTTTGAAGACATCAATGAGTTACGTGTCGGTACTGCATGCAATGAATCTCGGAAATGTTGAATAAAATAAACTGATGTATTTAAATGTACTATCAAATGTTGAAAAGTAGTAATGTATTACAAAGAATTTGTTCTATTCACAATGTTATAAAATATTGAACTATATTTTAATGAGCTTGTGTTATGTTTCTCAAAAATTATTGATTATATCATTTCTACGGTATAACAAAAATTAGTCTTCCATAGTATTCAATTTTTTGCCAATATTTAAGGGAAAGATTCTGTTAGATGTTTGTGATATCGACAATGTGTGTCGGTAAGTTAACATACTCTAGTGTTAGCTAGAATGATGACAGAGTATAACCATGAGGGTTGTAGCACGCAAGCATACAACAAATCGCTTAGGGTGTTTTACGATAGAGGGATCTTTTAAGGATACTCCTTCATACAAAAAATACTACATATATATGAAAAAGAGTATCCAAATTCTATAAAACAATAAAACCTTTCGTAAATTTAAAGAATCTCATTTGCCCATATTTAATAGATTTTAAATAATTACATTTACGAATGGAATAAAAATAATCTTAAAAGTTGTTCCGGTCAAAACAATAGCTGATTTCATAGAGCATGCGCCACGCATGATTCGAGAATAATATTATACGAAATGCAAAAGATACGGTTGTAAAAGAATCAGTTGTTCTTGATACGAGGTTGTCATAAGAAGCAACATGAGCGTTGATCGAGGTAGAGATAGTTAACAAATTATTTCACTCCCTTTTTTTTCAATCAATCCTAACACTATTTTTATTTAATAAAAAAAAACTGTTTTAAAAATTTCTATTTATTATTAAATAAAATGACAAAAATGATCGGTAACGATAATTTAATCGCAATTTAATCGCAAAGACAAAATTTCTAAAGTGCGTTTAACGAATAAAATTTATTTTCTTATTTTTTCAAACGCGATTGTAAATTTTCTCAGATTTGAATAATAAATCATATTGATCCGAACTTATACCTATTGCTATTAGTTATGGTCACGCGATCATGACCACCAAATATGTAATTCTCAATAATTCCTGTATTTTCCGAAATCATTGCACACATTATAGTTGAAATCTAATATTATTATACTAACGCGACCTATGTTAACAAAAGTTTGGCAAGTTGAATACGCTTGCGGATGGAACTTATACACGATGAAATTCATTGGAATTTGGCCGGAGGAAAGAAGGCTCGATCGAATTTCAAGCTACAAAGTATTAATAGGGATTGCCTTCATCATATTTTTCTGCACAATACCACAATACTGGCAGCTAATTATCGATCGACATGATTTCGATTTAGTTATGGAAAATATATCTGTAGACAACTTAAATGGAACTATCGCGTTCATAAAAATGATCTTCTTCTGGTCGAGCGGAGAACGTAAATACATTTCATTTAATTCGACACACTATTAATTATCATGTCAATTTAAAATCACACAATTTAAATTTATACTTAATCGTAACATCAAGTTACATACTTAAATATTTTTTACGAAGTATAATTGTATTTAGTTAATTAACAATTCAAATGAACAATTATATTCGTAAACAAACGATGAAAATAATTAAACACGAACAATTATATCAAATTGAATTATTTTTCTCACATTTCATTTTCACATTTTGATCAAAGCAATAAAAGGCCTCCTTTCGGCGATGGAAGTAGATTGGAAAGAAGTGTCAACAAAAAAGGAAGAACAAAAAATGATGAAACTAGCAAGATTCAGCCGAATTTTAGCAACGAGAGCGACCGAAATAAGTTATGCACTTATCGCGGTTTACATTGTTAAAAGATGCTTGTCAATGCGTAACGAAGGTCGGCTACCATTCATCTCATCGCATTTTCCATTCGATTACTTGACCAGTCCGATATTCGAATTGACGTTCGTCTGTCAAGTTATTGGTGCAGTTTATTTTACTACAGTTTACACATCAGTCGATACTTTCTTAACAATGTTGATCCTTCACGTGTGTGGACAACTTTCGAGGCTACAAGAAGATTTGATTAATTTAAATTCTAATACGAGACAAGAATTTCAACAAAAATTGGGTTACATCATCCGAAGACACGATCATTTAAACAGGTAATTGTTAATTAATTATAATTTTATGATCAACCGCAATTTTAATTGATTTTTTCCAAGGTTCGTCGATACAATTGAAGACCAATTCAACATAATGCTCCTTTTTCAAATGCTTGGTTGTACATTGCAATTATGCATCGAATGTTTTCAAGGACTCATGGTAACATTTTAATAATTCAACAGATTCGTTTAATATTCAAGAAACTTTTTGCAAATTATTTGAAAGGAATTATTACTCGCTAATAATTTTATTAAAAATATTAACGCGAATGTGAATTTTAGTTAATGGCTGGGGAAGGTGAAAAGATGCCATTGATAGAAATGTTTTTTTTCGCGTTCTACGTATTCTATGTTCTACTTCAATTATATCTATACTGCTATGTCGGTGAGAAACTTTGGACAGAGGTTAGCCAATATTGTAATTTCACAAAATTTATTCTATATAAAATATTAAAATACCAATATGAAGTATGTCATTTAAGAGTACCGAGGTTGCACGAGCTGCTTACGAATGTAAATGGTACGATTTCTTACCCCACGAAGCAAAATCACTGATATTAATAATCCATCGTTCGCGATCACCTTTACGTCTAACCGCAGGCAAATTTTGTATCTTTAATCATGAACTTTACAGTAGCGTAAGTAATCGTTATACTTAAAATAAATAAAAAATATTATCTATAAAAACGAGACCTCCTGTGTACACTTGATATTTATATTACAGGTTTTGAAAACATCAATGGGTTATTTATCTGTCTTACGTACGACCATGATAAAAGATGATTAATATTCCGGATTTTTTTATTCTAAAGATATAAATTACTATACTATCTGAAAGTTGAATATTTTCGAAAATAAAATATGTAGATTATATTATATTCGTAATTTAACTATAATTCTCGAAACCCATTTTAATCTACCTAAATAATAATTTAATACGTATATCTTTTAAAGAAAAGTATAAGAATTAGTTAACATAAGATTCATTATAACAAACGAGTTACAAATTAGTATGATCATTTTAAAGTCTAATCGTATTTTTGCAAAAAAAATACTTAGCCAAATAGACCGACAATAGAAGTGTGTATTTCGAGAAATAAAATCCTTCTTATGGAAACGAATTATTACTACATAATAACCTTAATTTATACTTTATTACTAAAGAAAAAAGAAAATGAAAGAAAACTAATGCTTATCACGTTTAACATTCAGTAAACTAATTTAAATTGCAAGGTCTACTCTAAAAGAATATTTATAAACCGTATGGTATAAAACTCGATGAAAATTTCATTTCAGTAAAAATAATAATACGTGTGTTACGCATAAAGGATGCACAAAATCATTGAAAATGCATCATAAAGTTAAAGATAAAATTTTTCTTCTCGTCATCTATCAACCCCCAACCACTTTTTCTCCTTGTCCTTCACCACCCTTATCTCCTTCAACCCTCTTCCTTCCCCTACCTTTATATTTCTACTTCTTTTACACCCTTATTCCTCAGACAATATTTTTCTCCGAACCTTAAATACATTTTTTAACAGCTCGGACTCCGATCACTTGTCATATTGACCTGAACACGAAGGGAACGCAATACTACACGATAAATGCATGATTAATAAAGAAGAACCGATGAAACTATCAATTATGACGATTCGTCGAGCTATAGCATCATCGAATATTCTAAAGACGTATTTGAAACATCTCCTACGAAAGGACTTCAAAATGCGTAAGCTATAGTTTTCTACGTGGTTAACACTTATAGCTGAAATCCTTGCACCGTAAAGATATTGAGAAATTAACTAAACAAAAAATTCATATCTGGAATCTAATTATTAAATTAAAAAATACTATAATTTTTTATACACATATATATATGTTATCGAAACTATTCTCTTTACAAATCACTTTAAAACATTATTTTTTATATGTGACTCTATGATTTCTTATAATTTCTATTTATTTATAGATTAATATTTTTTTTACAGATTCGTGTGTATACGCATGAAAAATTATTTTATAACATGTTACTGATGCAAATACTGTCCGATAATTTCAAATATTTTTGGTAAGATTCGTAATAAATTACTGAACAGAAATTAGTAAGATAAAATATGGTTATCCTATAAGATCATGAGATGTTTTATTTAGGTAATTAAACTAATATTAACACTTGGCTGATAAACCATAATACAAAAGTTTCTTCCATGTGGATTACATTCTTGATTGGAATGCCCAAACAATGAGAACATTTGGGATCTTTTAAGAGGAAAGATAATGTAATCGAGCATTCAATTATACTGTCTAATACCACTCACCGCGTTAATACTATTCACCATCATACTACAAAGGGTAGAACTCTAATATACATTAGGGTGTTATAGATTACTTTGCCGAAAACCTGTCAGTAAGAAATGTGATCTGTGATAATTGCGTATCTTAAAGAAGACCATCCTTTGTCTTAAAGGATTAGACTATATTGTGCGTTTAATAATAGAAAACTAATTTACCGCATCGATGATTGGTTGTTGTTTGATAAACATTTCTTTTTAACTCAATATGATACATCACGTTTTTCTCTTTCATGTTACGTAATTTCACTCAATTTTATTGCTAAAAAATGATTCTAAAGTTCGTATTCGCAGTTAGAAATATTTTTTATGATATTTAAATGATCAATTACACTTTATTCCAGCATCATATAAAATTAAGATCTTTTTGGTATTTAATTTTATTAATATTTAAGAAAAAAGATTTGTTAGATATTTGTAATATCGGCAATGCGTGTCGGTAAGTTAGCATATTGTAGTTACAACTAGTATGATGATAGAGTAACCACGAGGGTTATGGCAAGCAAAACATAGCAAATCGCTTAGAATTTTCTACGACAGAGGGATCTTTTAAGGATATTCCACCCTAAAAAATAACTATTCGAGTGTCAAAGTATCAATAAATTAAAAAACAGAATAAAATTTTGTCTAAAATAAAAGTACCTCATACATCGAGATTATATATACATTGAAAAAATGTTAATTTTAAAAAAAATCTAGGCAAGATTGATAATCATTCTCGTCAGAAAATCTCAGCGACTTCAAAGAGCATGCGCCACGCATGATATTCAACAGAAATATCATGCGAAATAGGATAGAAACGAACAAAAGAATCAGTTCTTGATAGGAAGTTGTCACAAGAACAAACATGAACAATCGTCGAGGTAGTTCATTGATTGAAAATTTGTTCACCTTATTTTTTAATTATTCCTAACAATCTTCCTTCATTTTTTATTTTATTGAAATTCTTGATCATATGATAATAATGAAATAATCAAAATTTAACGTCAACGCGATTAATCTGTAAAGTGAATATTGTGAATTTTATTTATTTTCTCTCCTTTTTTCTCCTTGAATTCGATGCTAAATCTTCACAGATTTGAATAATATATTATACTGAATAGTACTTTCGAAATTACTACTGGTTATAGTCACGCGATCATGACCACCAAATATGTGATTCTCAATAATTCCTGTATTTTCCGAAATCATTGCACACTTTATAACTGAAATCTAATATAATTATACTAATTCGATGTATGTTAACAAAAGTTTGGCAAGTCGAATACAGTTGCGGATGGAACTTATACACGATGAAATTTATTGGAATTTGGCCGGAGGAAAGAAGGATCGATCGAATTTCAAGCTACAAAGTTTTAATAGGGATTGCCGTCATCACATTTTTCTGCACTATACCTCAATACTGTCAGCTTTATATAGATCGACATAATTTCGACTTAGTTATGGAAAATTTATCGGTAGACAACCTAAATGGAACTATCTCGATCATAAAAATGATCTTCTTTTGGTCAAGCGGGGAAAGTAAATAGAATTTTTTTATATCGATCACATATCTATCATATCAATTCAAGATCAAACATAATCTAAAGTTCTATTAAACTGATATTTAAACAATACTTTCCAAATATGTATCAATAAGATTTATTTTTAACAAAGTATAATTCAATAAAAGTAATTAAAAGATTATATACAGTATAATTCTTTTAATAAAATGACAATTAATAGAAACCTAAGTAATTAAATCAAATTTTATTATTTTTCTCACATTTTCATACATATTTTTAAATATCATTTTGATCGTAGCAATAAAGGGTCTCCTTTCCGCAATGGAAGTAGATTGGAAAGAAGTGTCATCGAAAAAAGAAGAACAAAAAATGATGAAACTCGCGAGATTAAGCAGAATTTTAGCAACGAGAGCGACCGAAATAAGTTATGCACTTATCTCGGTTTACATTTTAAAAAAATGCGTCGCGATACATAACGAAGGTCGAATACTATTTTTCCTATCGTATTATCCATTTAATTCAATGATTACTCCAATGTTTGAAATTACGTTCGTCGGTCAAGCGATTGGTACAGTTTATTTTACAACAGTATATACCGCAATTGATACTTTCTTAGTAATGTTGATCCTTCACGTGTGTGGACAACTTTCGAGGCTACAAGAAGATCTGATTCATTTAAATTCTACTACAAGAGAAGAATTTCACAATAAGTTAAGTTACATCGTAAGAAGACACGATTTTTTAAACAGGTAATTGTTAATTAATTATAATTTTTGAATCAAATATAAAATTAATGAATTTTTTCCAAGATTCGTCGACACGATTGAGGACCGGTTCAACATAATGCTACTTTTTCAAATGATTGGTTGTACGCTGCAATTATGCATGGAATGTTTTCAAGGGCTTAAGGTATTATTTTAATAAGCCTAAAAGATTCGTCAACAACAATTCGTTAATTAAAAATATTATCACTATTATGAATTTTTTAGTTAATGGCTGGGGAAGGTGAAAAAATGCCATTGATAGAAATGTTTTTTTTCGCGTTCTACGTCTTCTATGTTCTACTTCAATTATATCTATACTGCTATGTCGGTGAAAAACTTTGGACCGAGGTAAGCCAACATAAGTATTTTCAAAAAATTTATTACGCATAAAGTATGAAAATTTCAATTATAAGTGTGTCCCTTTAAGAGTACTGAAATTGCTCGTGCTGCTTACGAATGTAAATGGTATGATTTATTACCCCATGAAGCTAAATCACTGATATTGATAATCCGTCGTTCACGATCACCTTTATGTCTAACTGCAGGCAAATTCTGTACCTTTAATCATGAACTTTATAGTAGCGTAAGTAATCATTATACTTAAATGAATAAAAAATATTATCTATAAAAACGAGACTCCTGTGTATACACTTGATTTTTATATTACAGGTTTTGAAAACATCAATGGGATATTTGTCTGTTTTACGTACTACAATGATGAAAGATAATTAATATTCCCGATTTTTATTCTAAAGATATAAATTATTATACTATCCTATAGTTAAATATTTTCAAAAACAAAATACGTAGATTATATTTTATTCGTAATTTAGCTATAATTCTTGAAACCCATTTAAATCTGCTTAAATAATAATTTAAAACGTATGCCTTAAAGCAAAGTATGAGAATTAGTTAACATAAAAATGATTATAACAAACGAGTTATAAACTAGTATGATCATTTTAAAATCTAGTCGTATTTTTGCAAAAAAATACTTAGCCAAATAGACCGACAATAGAAGCGTGTATTTGAAGAAATAAAATCCTTCATATGGAAACGTATTATTACTTTATAATAACCTTAAAATTTATATATTTTATTACTAAAGAAAAAAAAAGAAATAAAACTAATGCTTATCACGTTTAAAATTCAACAAACTAATCTACATTTCATGAATTACTCGAAAAGAATATTTATAAATCGTATTGTATAAAATACGATGAAAATTTCATTTGAGAAAATAATAATACGTGTGTGTTATGCATAAAGGATGCACAAATTCATTGAAAATGCAACATTAAATCGAAGATAAAATAATTCTACCTGAAATATATTCCACCCTTGATAATCTCCTTCACGTCTTGTACCTCCCTCTCCTCTTCGATTCCCTCTTCCTCCGCCTACTCTTATGCAATTCTACTTCTTTTAAACTCTTATTCCTCAGATAACATTTTTCTATAAAACTTGAATACATTTTTTAACAGTTTGAACTCCGATCACTCGTTGTTATGTCGTGAACGCGTAAGTGCACGTAATACCACTCGATAGATGCATGATTAATAAAGAAACAACCAATGAAACTATCAATTACGACAATCCATTGAGTTATAACATCATCGAATATTCTAATGACGTAGTTGAGACGGAACTTAAAAATGCGTGCGCAATGTGCGCTCAAGTTTTCAACGTGGTATACACTTATGATTGGAATCCTCGCAACATGAAGATCTTAAGATATTAATTAACCAATAAATTAATCTATTATGGAATATCTTGTCCTACAAAAAGTACACTTTTTTTATAAAGGTATATGTATGTTTTTTATATATGTTTTTTTACTTTATAAATCACTTTAAAAAATGTTTTATATTTGACCACGTTTCTAACTATTTTTCGGTTTATGTTTTTTTTTACAGATTCGTGGATATATATGGAAATTTTTTAACAACATATTACTGTTCCATGTGCTATTCGATGTTTCCAAGTATTTTCGGTAAGATTTTTTATTAATTACTGAAACAAAAATTAATAGATTAACATTTTTTTCTTTAGTCTAAGACAAACGTAATAACTGCAGCTATAATATTGTTAAGTTTCTTATTATTTTAATAATTAAATTATTATTAAAACTTATCTGTGTGTGATCGACCATAATACAAAAATTTACCCTTATGTGTATTAAATTTGTAATTAGAATCCCAAAACAATTAAAACATTTGGAATCTTTTAATAGGAAAAAAAATTTAATCGAGCATTCAATTACTCTCAATGCTATTAACCATCATACCACCAAGGGTAGAACTCTAATATACATAAGGGTGTTATAAATTACATTGTCGAAAATCAGTCAATGGGAAAATTTGTATTAGCAGTTATAAATATTTTGTTTTTTAAATGATCAATTACTTTATTCTAGCATCCTATAAAATTAGGATCTTGTTGGTATTTAATTTTATCAATATTAATGAGAATATTTGTCAGATATTTGTAATATGCAATGCGTGTCGGTAAGTTAGCATATTGTAGTTGCAACTAGAATGATGATAGAGTAACCACGAGGGTTATGGCAAGCAAAACATAGCAAATCGCTTAGAATTTTCTACGACAGAGGGATCTTTTAAGGATAATCCTCCCTAAAAAAATAACTATTTGAAAATGCTAAAGAGTATAAATAAATTATAGAACAGAATAAAATTTTGCCTAAAATAAAAGTACCTCATACATCGAGATTATGTATACATTGAAAAAATGTTAATTTTAAAAAAAATCTAGGCAAGATTGATAGTCATTCTCGTCAGAAAATCTCAGCGACTGTAAAGAGCATGCGCTACACATGATTCAACAGTAATATCATGCGAAATAGGATAGAAACGAACAAAAGAATCAGTTCTTGATAGGAAGTTGTCAAAAGAACAAATATGAACAATCGTCGAGGTAGTTCATTGATTTAAAATTTGTTCACCTTATTTTTTAATTATTCCTAACAATCTTCCTTCATTTTTTATTTTATTGAAATTCTTGATCATATGATAATAATGAAATAATCAAAATTTAACTTCAACGATTAATCTGTAAAGTGAATATTGTGAATATAATTTATTTTCTCTTTTTTCTTCTTGAATTCGATACTAAATTTCGTGAGATTTGAATATTACATTATACTGAATAATACTTTCGAAATTGCTACTGGTTATAGTCACGCGATCAAGATCACCGAATATGTGATTTTCAATAATTTCTATATTATCCGAAATCATTGCACACTTCATATCTGAAATCTAATATAATATTATTAACGCGATCTATGTTAACAAAAGTTTGTCAAGTTGAATACACTTGCGGATGGAACTTATATACGATGAAATTCATTGGAATTTGGCCGGAGGAGAGGAGACTGGACCGAATTTCTAGCTACAAAATTTTAATAGGGATCGTCTTCATCATTATTTTCGTCACTATACCTCAATACTGGCTGCTGTATATCGATCGACATGATTTCGACTTGATTATTGATATTTTATCACTGGACAGCATTAATGGAACAATCGCGTTTATAAAAATGATCTTCTTCTGGTCAAGCGGAGAACGTAAATACATTTCATTTATTTCGATTCCCTTAATAAATATCATGTCAAATTAAAATCATATAATTTTAAGTTATACCTAATTGTTAGCCAATGTTCAATATTTAAAACTTGTTTTCAAATTATGTATCAATAGGATGTACCTTTAGTAGAATTCAATTCGATAAAGTTAATTAACAATTGACATGCACTATTATTTTTTTAAAAAACATAACTAAAAATACAAACTCGTACAATGCTATTTAATATTATTATTTTTCTCATATTTCTATACTTATATTTTTATTTATTATTTCGATCAAAGCAATAAATAACCTGCTATACGCAATGAAAGTAGATTGGAAGGAAGTGTCAACGGAAATGGAAGAAAAAAAAATGATGAAAATCGCAAGATTTAGCAGAAATTTAGCATCAAGAGCAACCGAACTCTGTTATGCCCTTATCGCGGTTTACATTTTAAAAAGATGCTTGTCGATGCGTAACGAAGGTCGACTACCATTTTTCCCTTCGTATTATCCATTCAGTGCAATGTCCAGTCCAATATACGAATTGGCGTTTGTCGGTCAAGCGATTGGTACTATTTATTTTACTACAGTCTACACAGCAGTTGATACTTTCTTAGCCATGTTGATCCTTCACGTGTGTGGACAACTTTCAAGGCTACAAGATAATCTGATTAATTTGAATTCTAATACGAGACAAGAGTTTCAGAATAAGTTACGTTACATCATCAGAAGACACGATTATTTAAAAAGGTATTTGTTAATTAGTTATAATTCTACAATCTCAATTGTAATATAAATCATTTTTATTTTTCAAGATTCGTTGATACGATTGAGGATCAATTCAACATAATGCTTCTTTTTCAAATGCTTGGTTGTACATTGCAATTATGCATCGAATGTTTTCAAGGACTTAAGGTATTGTTTTAATAAGATTAAATGATTCGACAACAACTAATTCAATTAAAAATATTAACATTACTATGAATTTTTTGTTTAGTTAATGGCTGGGGAAGGTGAAAAGATGCCATTGATAGAAATGTTTTTTTTCGCGTTCTACGTGTTCTATGTTCTACTTCAACTATACCTATACTGTTTTGTTGGTGAGAAACTTTGGACCGAGGTTAGAAAACATCAGTAATTCAATTATTTATTTGCTATAAAGTATGAAAATTTCAATGAAAAGTATGTCATTTAAGAGTAACGAGGTTGCTCGTGCAGCTTACGAATGTAATTGGTATGATTTATTACCCCACGAAGCTAATTCACTGATATTAATTATCCGTCGTTCACGATCACCTTTTCGTCTAACTGCAGGCAAATTTTTTACTTTAAATCATGAACTTTACAGTAGCGTAAGTAATCATTATACTTAAGTGAATGAAAAATCTTAGCTATACAAAACGAGACACCTGTACACACTTGATTTTTATTTTACAGGTTTTGAAAACATCAATGGGATATTTGTCTGTTTTACGTACCACAATGATGAAAGATGATTAATATTCCCGATTTTTTTATTCTAAAGATATAAATTACTATACTATCCTAAAGTTGAATATTTTCAAAAAAAAACAAAATATGTAGATTATATTTTATTCATAGTTTAGCTCTAATTTACTAAACCTATTTAAATCTACTTAAACAATAGTTTAAAACTTATGCCTTAAAACAAAGTACTTAACATAAGAATGATTATAACAAACGAGTAACAAACTATTATAATCGTTTTAAAGTCTAGTCGTATTTTTGCAAAAAAATAAACACTTAGCCAAATAGACTGACAATAGAATTGTGTATTTCAAGTAATAAAATTCTTCGTCTAGAAACGTATTATTATCACATCATAATTTGATTCTGCTACGAATCAACTGCAAAAGTAAATTTTTAATTATGTACTTTAAATGATACAAAATTAAATTTATCGCTACTTAATTATCCTGTAAAATTAGGTTTTTTTTAGGTATTGAGTTTTGTCAATATTAAAAAGAAGATTTGTTAGATATTTATAGTATCGGCAATGCGTGTCGGTAAGTTAACATATTGTAGTTGCAACTAGTATGATGATAGAGTAACCACGAGAGTTATGGCAGACAATAGATAGCAAATCGCTTAGAATTTTCTACGACAGAGGGATCTTTTAAGGATAATCCTCCGTAAAAAATAACTATTTGAAAATGACAAATTATCAATAATTTATACAATAAAATAAATTATTTCCAAAACAAATGTATCTCACATGTATCGAGAGATTGTGCATATATTAAATATATTAATTTATGAAAGAATCTAGGTCGGATTTAAAAAATATCTAGGTAGCCATTCTTGTCAGAAAAGCTCAGCGATTTCATAGAGCATGCGCCATACATGATTCAACAGTAATATCATGCGAAATAGAAAAAAATGCGAACAAAAGAATCAGTTTTTGATAGAACGTTGTAACAAGAACCAACATGAGCATTCGACGAGGTAGTTCATCGATTTAAAATTTGTTTACCTTATTTTTTAATTATTTCTAATAATTTTTCTTTATTTTTTAAATTATTGAAATTCTTGATTTTATGATAATAATGAACGGTATTACAAATAATCATAATTTAACGTCAACGCGATTAATTTGTAAAGTGAATATTGTGAATATCATTACTAAGTTTACTCTTAGGGAAGTTGTTTTTTTGGACGGGTTTAATTAAGATGAACACAATATTTATCCGTTGAACGTTTCGTCTCTATTTGAGACTTCCTCAGCAACTTGATAGTTATGTTCATAAGTCAATATAACATCATTTTTATTACAGTCATAAGTTTTCACTATCTTATAAATAGAGTCAATTTTTAAGAACGTTATTCTACTATAACTTTTCGAACACTACTAATATCATTTATTTTCTTCTTTTGTCTCCTTGAATCCGATACTAAATTTTGTCAGATTTGAATAATATATTATACTGAATAGTACTTTCGAAATTGCTAGTAATTCTAGTCACGCGATCATGACCACCGAATATGTGATTCTCAATAATTTATGTATTTTCCAAAATTATTGCACACTTCGTACATGAAATCTAATAATGAGGTTACATTAACGTGCTCTATGTTGACTAAAGTTTGGCAAGTGGAATACGCTTGCGGATGGAACTTATTCACGATGAAATTCATGGGAATTTGGCCCGAGGAGAGAAAATTCGATCAAATTTCCAGCTACAAAGTGTTAATAGGGATTGCCTTCATCATCTTTTTCTGTACTATACCTCAATACTGGCTACTTTATATCGATCGACATGATTTCAACTTGATTATGGAAAATTTATCACTGGACAACATTAATGGAACAGTCGCGTTTATTAAAATGATCTTCTTCTGGTCAAGCGGAGGACGTAAATACAATTAATTTAATTCATAATCTCTAGGACGCCATGTTCAATTTTATCGCACATTTAGATTTTTTATTCTTTTCAATAAATCTGCAATATAAATTATAATTTTCAATTACCGTGGTGTGTGTAAAATATTGTGACTAATAGAAATAATATTAACTATAATTTTCTTTACAAGACATGAATATAATTTTTTTTAAAAAAGTAATTAGAAAAGTACAGTTAAAATAAATGCACCAATAATTAAACTCGTTACAACGGCTGACTATTTTTAAGGAAAACGTGAAAAATAAGATTTTTAGACTAATTGGAATCTTTCAAAAAAAGAAACGATAAAATTGTGATAGAATGATATAGTACATTTATTACATCTTTTTCGAAAGACCCATCCATTGCCAACTGCAAAATATCTCATAGATTTTCTTTTTTGTTTTCATTAAATCATTATCAAAGCCACTTAAAAAAGATATCTGAAACTACTAAACAATGAATTGAAACAAATTTCATTATTTTCTATAAAAATTAACTTTTGACTATTTTCGCATTCAGGAAAACGCGTGTTTAATTTTATCTGTAATGATAGAGTTAAAAATCTTATTATCTACGTTCCCTAAAAAATGGTCAACGATTGATACGAGTTCAATTACTGATATCATTTTCCTAAATATACGTTTACGTGTTGAAAAGTTTTGAGACAACGTCAACAACTAAAAGTGAGTTTGGCCGAACAACAAATTCTTTCTATGTCAGACTCAAAACTTTTCCACCCACCCGCGTAAAGAATCGTTACTCTTTGCAAATATTTTCTTCTTATATTGAAATCCTGATTTAAATTTGTCATTATCACTAAAGAAATAAAGGATCTTCTTACCGCAATGGAGGAAGACTGGAAAGAAGTGTCAACAAAAGAAGATGAACAAAAAATGATGAAATATGCAACGTTCAGCAGGAAGATAGCAACTAGAGCAACTGCTATCTGTTATGGTATTATCGTGTCTTATACTGCGAAAAGAATTTTATCAATGCGTACTCTTGGTCGGCTTACATTTTTTCCTTCGTATTATCCAATCGAAACAATGGACAGTCCATTGTTCGAATTCAAATTCATCGGTCAAATGATAGCCACAACTTATTATACCGTAACGTATACATCTGTAGATACTTTTCTAGTAATGTTGATTCTTCACGTGTGTGGACAACTTAAAAGATTGCAAGACGAATTGGTTAATTTGAATATCGGTACGAGTAGAGAATTTCAGAACAAGTTAAGTTATATCGTCAGAAGACACGATCATTTGAACAAGTAATTATAATCAGTATGTTATTAATTAATTTGAATATTATAATCATGAGATATAATGATTATATAATTAAGATACATGTTTTGTTAAAGATTCATCGATAAGATTGAGGACCAATTCAACATAATGCTACTCTTTCAAATACTTGGTTGTACTTTGCAATTATGCATGGAATGTTTTCAAGGACTTATGGTAAACATTTTAAAAATATAAAATAAACTTGTCCATGCACACATTTATATATATGCATCTATTGTCTAACAATTTTTCAACAGATTTTTAATTAGGATAAAATTTGTACAAAAATTTAATATCAAATAATAATTATTTGCAATATTATTAACATAATTCACTAAAAAAAAAAAACGGCACGTTACTTTCTATCTACACGAAAATTTCAACTATTTAAAAATTAATCAAATCTATTATGAATTTCAGTTAATGGTCGGAGAAGGAGAAGAGATGCCATTAATTGAAATTTGCTTTTTCGGTTTTTACATCTTCTATGTTTTACTTCAATTATACCTATACTGTTACGTCGGAGAAAAACTTTGGACCGAGGTGAATAAAATATTGTAATACAAAAAATGACTTTGTTATAATGAAATATGATAATACCGAATAAAAGTGTATCCTTTCAGAGTACCGAAGTTGCTCGTGCTGCTTATCAATGCAATTGGTACGATTTATTACCTCACGAATCCAGATCACTGATATTAATAATCCGTCGTTCACGAGAACCTTTGCGTCTCACTGCAGGAAAATTCTGTACTTTGAATCATGAACTTTACAGTAGCGTAAGTAATCCTTTCGTATTACTAAACAAACAATAAATAATTGTTTGGTATATCTAAGGAAATAAAAAATCGTAATTAAAAAAAATACGATATATCTGTAAATTGAATTTTTAATTTTTCAGGTTTTGAAGACATCAATGGGCTATCTATCTGTTTTACGTGCAACGATAATAAATGATGAATGAAACTTCGTATTTAATTAAAAAACCATAAACTGCTATACTTTCTTAGAGTTGAATTTTATAGACACAAACAAAATATATAATATATACGAATATATATGATGTTTTACCTCGTAATTTAATTGAAAAAAATTGATTAAATCGTAATCATGGCAAATTTTGTATATTTTAATTTAATTTCTCGTCACTCTTTTTCCCCATATCTAAAGACTTATTTTTATATAATGAATTTTAACATGTGGATAAATATACTTTATGAATAAGTCGAGCAATAAGTTCGACGTCTAGGAACATACTACTCCGAAGCCAAAGATTTCCGACATGAAATTAATAAATCATGGATATGGTATTACGGGTCGCTTTTGTCAGGGCATGCGCCATGAATGTTACCGAACTTATGGTCTTCCAAATAAGAAAGGAACCACTCGGAAACAGTTCTTGATAGATGGTTATAGCAAGAGCCTTAGATGGATAAAAGTCGAGGTATCAAATTTCTGTCGAAAATTTTCAAAATACTTTATTGAATATTAAAAAGTTAAAAATTAAAAAAAAAATTTTAAAGAAAAAAAAAAAAAAGGAAAGATTTTGATTAATAACAAATGATCTAAACCCGTACCGATTTTTCTAAAGATCCTCTAAAAAATAAAGATACCTAAGATCAATGAATTAATTAACAGTGGAGATAAAGAAAATTTCGCACGTTGATTACGCTTGTGGGTGGAACGTCTACAGCATGAAATTCATGGGGATTTGGCCAGAAGAAAAGATGATTAATCCATCGGAAAACATTAAGGTTTTTTCCGCGATTTTTTTCATGTTTTTCTTCGTAAGTTTGCCGCAAACGATTAATCTATTCTTCATCTGGGGTGACTTCGATCTGGTCGTCGAAAATTTATCCATGGACAACATGACTATCTCTATTGCGATCTTAAAGACAATGGCTTTTTGGTGCAGCGGAAAATGTAAATAAGAAGTTTTTCTTTATTACAAAAATTGAATAATTTCAATTTTAACTAATAAATCCAAAAAAGAAAAAATTCGAATTAATTAATTGTTTTTTTTTCATAATTGTCGAAGCTCTGAAAGGTTTGTTAAATATCATGGAAGAAGATCGCAAAGAAGCTACGAAAGAAGAGGACGTCAAAAGAATGATGACGGTTGCTACAATTTCAAGAAAAATCACCATAACGGCCAACATAATGTGCAACAGTCTCGTAGTCATTTATGCCATAATGCATTTGGCAACAAATTATACGAGCGTCCGTGGTCTCTTCTTTCCAGCTTATTTTCCTTGGGAAACTAAACCCACCCCAAATTACGAGTTTACATTTTTCGGACAATTGATGGGATCATTCTATGCTTGTGCTACTTATTCCGTAGTTGATACTTTCGTTGCTACTTTAATTTTACATGTTTGCGGACAGTTGGCGAATCTGAGACACGAGTTAATAAATTTGCAAAGTAAAACGAAGGAAGAATTTCAATCTAAATTGGCACACATCGTGAAAAAACACGATTACCTTAACAAGTGTGTTATGAAATTGAATAATTAAAATTATTTTTAATGATCAATGAATCAAATTAGATCTAATTGAATTGTATTTCTTTATTTTTTTAAGATTCACGGAAACAATCGAAAATTGTTTCAACATGATGTTGCTGATTCAAATGTTAGGATGCACTATAACTCTCTGCTTGGAAAGTTTTCAAACGCTCGAGGTAAAAAAAAACAAAATATATACATAAAATATAAAATAATTATCTATTATATTTGTTGTTCTCTAAATTGTCTTAAGTCGGTAACCGGGGAAAAAGATGAATTCTTTTTACTAGAACTAGGATGTGCTGCATTTTACGTCTGCTATATCCTAGTTCAACTTTATCTTTATTGTTACGTAGGAGAAAGACTTCTTTCAGAGGTAAATTTGGTTTTATTCTTAAATCAAAAATATTTATAATATTTCATATCAAATAATCTTTCTAATATTATTTATTTCTCAAAATATAAAAAAAAATAATAATTTATCTAATTTGTGTAAATTATAAAAATTACTTTGCGTGAGATGTTAAACACGATTGAATTTGTAAATAATTTTTAAATATTGCATTTTAGAGTACAGGAATGGCGTCGGCGGCCTACGAATGTGAATGGTACAACTTATCACCGAACGAAGCAAAATGTCTTATACTGATCATGCGTCGTGCAAGATCGCCCTTGCGCATTACAGCTGGAAAATTCTGTTCCTTCAATCATGAACTGTTCAGCGAAGTAAGGAAAGAAAAAAAACATGTCGCCGATTTACCGATCTTTTACCATTTCGATTCAATTCTAAATCCCTACATCAATTTTAAGTGTATCATTTTAATAAATTAATCGAATTTATAATGAAAATAACAAATTTCTCAATTGTTCAAAACATCAAATAAATTCTAAAATTTCAAAATGTATCATTATAAAATAAGTTAACGAAATCGGTAATATTTAGATACTAGAAAAATAATTTCAAAAACTATGCTTCAGGTCGTCAGAACATCAATGGGCTATTTATCCGTTCTCTATGCAGTAAAGAGCGAAGATTGAAATTAAATTGACAATAATCATTATGACAAACGAGTAATAAAACTATTATATAATTATTATACAGTGTAATATTTATATTTTTCAAATAATTCCTAGACAAACAAAATTAATATCAGTAATTATGTATTTATGAAAATATTATAAAATCATTCAACCTCTCTGAAACGTCTCATTTTATCTTCCCAATCCTAATATTCATACTTTCTCGTTAAAAACTAAGAAGAAGAAAATATTCATTAGGCTAAATAAAATTCGCACATAACTGTGTATTTATTTAGATATAAAATCCTTCGTTATAATAGATCATCCATATTTATCATAAAACATAAGAGAGAAAAAACGAACAAATATCATCGGGCTAAAAAATCAACAAATTAATCTAGATTTCCTATTAGAATATCAAGGTCGACGAATAAAAAGAATAGTATATACATGATATCTATAAACCATATAATAAAAAATTCGATCGAAGTTCCACGTCAGAAAAAGATAATGCGCGAGTTGCGTCTAAAAGATCAGGAAAAAGGTGGAGCAGAGGGGGAAGGGGAGGGAGGGAGGACTAGAGGTTTAAGAGAGTGAACAGGTATCCGTAAATATTAAAATCTTCGAAAGCGCAAGTTGCAAGAGTTCATCGAATATGCAACAGAAAGTTGAAGATAACATTTTCGTACCTACTAATCCCCTACCCCCACCCCAACCCCCAACCCCCCCCCCTTTCCTATTCTTATTTCTTCGACAATTTTATTCCTTATACTACATTTTTCTCCGAACCTTGAATACATCTTTTAACAGTTTGGACGTCCGATCAATCATTATAATGTTATGAACGCGTAAGTGCACGCAATAGTACTCGATAAATACATGATTAATGAAGAAGAATCTACGAAGGTATCAATTACGGCAATCCGTCGAGCTATAGGATCATCGAATATTCTAAAGACATAGTTAAAGCATCTTTTACGATAGGATTCGGAAATGCGCGCGCAATACGAATCATCCTACTTGTCTCGTAGGATTTTTCTTCTTCTTCTTCTTCTTCCTCCTTCTCCTTCTCCTCCTCCTACTTTTCCATATTGCAGAATTTTAATTCAAGAAAGAAAGAAAGAAAGAAAAAAAAAAAAGGAAGAAGATAAGGAAAACTTTTCTGCTTGATCTATTTAATAATTTACAAATGTGAGAATCTAACACGCCACGAAGTTTATTCTCGCGTTTGCGCAGACGTAGCCTTTTCTATTTTCCTTTACTACTTTTTTTTTTCTTCTCCTTTTTTTTATTCTTGCCATTCCTTTCATTCTGCATTCTTTTCTTTTCTTTTGCTTTTTTTTTTCTACGCGCGAAGGATACCTTGTTGTGCTTAAGTATATCATTCCCTTTCAAGTATTCACGCAAGTTTTTTTTTGTTGTTGTTGCATACACGATTCGTCGGGATTCTTGTGCTTTTCTTTTCTTTTCTTTTTCTTTTTTTATCGCATTAAATAAAAATTCTTTTCGTTAGTATTCCTCATATCGTATCCTCTGATCCGAACAAAAGTTCATCTGACAGATTCGATTCGTAAATAACATAACAAAGTAAAAAAGAAAAAGTAAAAAGTTTTCATTTTAATCGTCAAGTGACAACGAACGCTTCCATCCAGCATATAAAAGTTTTCACTCATCAAGCTTTCACCATTTATTTCCGTCAACGTTCGAAGAAGAAAGTTACTCTTAAGTGTACGACTACTATATACTGCTATTCATTTATGAACGAAACGCGAGCACGAGACATAACAAATAAGCATTATTAACGACAAATTACCTGCTCGTACTATCTATAACATTCTCACAATGGAGAAAACAAAGGAACGTTTCATGGTGATTATCATCCCTTCTTACCTTTCTCACTTAAGTGATTAGATACACGCAAGTAAAATGCACGACTTCACGCTTTTTTAACGAGAAAGCATAAGCACGCGACTCTCTGTATATAAAAATGCTGTTTTCTATTGTCACCAATGTCATTTTACTTTTAACTATACTACGCGACACAACTTAACTTGTCTACTTTACTAACTATACAAAAAAAATCCTATTTTTTCAATCTCTTCTAACATAAATTATTATAAATTGTTTTTTTTTTTTCGTATATTCTTATATATAATATGTTCTTGATCGTTTCAATAGTTTTATTTGTCTAATTAATTATATATTCTCAATTTATATTTATATTTATATTTTTCTGATAATATATTGTATACGTTTTTTAATTGTTAATAAAAGTTTCATAAAATATTGGAAATATGTTCGTCGATAGGAAAACGTTTGGAATAATTCTTCTGTTGGTTTATACTGTAGTAGCACGAAATACGGATGGTCAAGATTTTCGTAAAGAAATTAATAACAAAAAGGGTGGATCGATGTTAGCCGAAATTGCTAAGGAATTTATGCAACGATCTACTACTACCAGTCAGGTGAGTAAAATTAATATATTTATTTTATTTTTCTGCGAATTTATGTGGAAAGAAAGGGATACTAAATTAAACAAAAAAGAAAGCTAACCAGTGTAAGCGAAAATGAATAAACTACATATATGTTCGAGGTAATTAAGTAAGAACAATTTAAATGTGTACAAAAAATTATAGGTATTTATCCATAATGAAACAAATTTAAAATTGCATAATGATTTACTGCTTTTCAATATGTCCACCATCCCTTCGATATTGTTTCTTTTTTTTTTCAACGTTTTTCTGCAAACAACACTTTTAATAGAATTTAAGAGAAACAATTATTCTACATGAAAAAACGAATTTGATCAGGAAATCAAACTAATTTGCATGAATAAATATAAATCTGGCCAATAATACGTACAACATTTAACACGCACACACATCCACCAGGTTTTATTGTGAAATAAAAAACTATCGTATATTAATATTATATTATCATTCGAAAAGTTAAAAAAAAAAGAAAACAGATTGTCCAAGTCTTTGTTGAAATAAAGAAGAATGTTACTTTGCCGATATTGAAAAAATGTGTGAAAATATATTTATTTATTTTATTTTCTATAAAGGTACTGAATTTAAATTTATCTAATCTACTGCTACTCCTCGTATTAAAAGCTGTAGTTTTTGGTGCTGGATATATTGGAAATCATGCTTATAAGGGACGAGATTTAAACGAAGGTTCGTATATATGTGTTATATTTATTAAATATATAAATTCTAATTATATTTTATACTATATCGTAGAAAATGTAATATCCGAAGGAGAAGTTGCTTTGGCATTAGGTTATCTGATTGGTGATACGTGCCTGTATAGAGCAGCTTGCGAAGAACCACATATTGCAAAAGAATATTTGGGTGCTGCTGAAATGCTTTTAAATACAATGAAACTAATGCCACAGTATGTATATATTAAATTATTAATATAAAAATTAAATATAATATCAAATAATGATTTATATCTATGTATCTATGTACAGGACAGTATCCGTTGAACGTAAATACGAAAAAACGATAAATGAACTTCGAAAAGCTATCGAATACGGTACTACAAGTCAATGCCCACCGGAATATAACTGTAAAAAAGAAAATATCAAAGCTTTCTTAACGTCCGAGAAAAAAAAATAAAAACGTAAGATCTACGTACGATTTTTATAAATTAAGCGTATGTTTAATATAAAATATCCTAAATGTTAGCAAAAATAAATAACAATTATTCAGATGACATTTTAATCAATATTTATATATTGTATATTATTTTATTAAAAATCAAAATGCACGGACACATACACATATGTGAGTTCATTTCTATAATATTTATAAGTTAACACTCCCAGCACTTTATTTTTTCATTGATTTCCTCTAGTTATTATTTCTAATAAAAATTAAGCTTATTTAAACAGTCATCGAATTGATATTATTTGCAACAGAATGCATAACATACAAAATATAATATGCTTTATACCGAAAAAAATATCGTGTTCTCAGATCTCATCACGTGGAGGTTACCCGGTTCTGGAGACATAGATGATTCTAACTATTCAAATTACGACTACTCTACTATTACTTTTATTTCTAACTGAAAGTAATTTAATTACTTTGAAAGAAACGTAATTTCGCGTGAATTCAGTTATATGACTATCATCAAACACGTGAGTAATCAAATTGAATTGAAATAAATAATGCATTTAATGTAATACATTTTCTTGCAATGTTTTTATATTATTTATTAAAGAATATATTAAATTATATCAAATATTTCTAAGACAAAATATCGCGATTGTTCAAAATGCTACTTATAAAACCTAAAACTAAATATCAAATTCAACAAAGACTTTGTAGATTTAATTGAATTCATTCCATGATTATCTCATATACCACCATAATGTAAAAGCTTAAGCTAGAGCCCAATGGGAGTGCGTATCAAATGTTGTGACCAATTGTCTAGGCTAATTACTGAGACTAAAAAATATATAGAAAAAGAAAAGCGTATGAAACCTACACGCGACTAAAGTAAAACTTCTAAAGATTTTTACAATGACCGGTACCTCCGACCGGGCAATGTGAAGAGTGGTGTCCAGATTTTTTTTTTTTAGACGAGAGAGAGTATACAAATATTACTTATTTATAAAAAAAAAAGATACAAAAGCCTACATTGAAGAGCATGCTTTGGGGCACCTCCGACACCCTAATTCAATCACGTTTACATACCAATGCTGCAATCGGTTGCCAAAACATGTGATTATTGCCAAAATACTGGTACATACTAGCAGCTGAATCGTTGAATCGTTGAATTGATGAATCATTGAGTCGATGATTAATCTGCAAATAAAAAATACAAAATAAAATTAATTATATATCCAGACAAAACCATATTCGTCGATAAAGATCATCTGAACAGAAACATCTGATAATTAATTAATATATAAGAAACAAGTGCACGTTCAAAAAAATATGCTAAGTTACCTTTAATTACGAGGTCAAAATAACTTTTTCCCAATTTGTTGATAGTATTTCTCGAGACCACTGTTGTACCGATATATGGCGTTACCAGTTATATGTATGATCACCCTAAAAATTAACCATTTTTTTATCTATTATTAAAAAATATCGAAACATTAAAAATACGATGTTGAAGTACAAAATCAATCAAAATGTGTAAATGTTCGTTCAAAATTATAAAAATTAATACACAATGTTGCCTATCTCTTAAAATAAAATCGAAAATAAAGGTTATAAATAAAAATGGAAATCACCCAAAACGAGGCATTATTATATTCGATCGTGAATATCTTTTAAACCCAACAATATCTGGATTTGACAACGCAGCCTCGTGAAAATCGTGTTGTTAGCTATCGATTGATATATAATTTGAGAGTTTACGTTAGAAAAAAACGATTAATTACCTGCAATTAATGAAGACGTCACGGATCAGTGTTTCACTAACAAAAGTTGGTACACGAAAGGATGCGTTTCGCTATTACAACTTGTGATTTGCGCGAGTTGACGCATGCGCATTACGTGATCATCGATATGTTACACGAACTAATAAATATATTATTTTTTTAATCTTTTATATTGAAAAATAACATAGATTACAACATTAAATAGCAAAAAAGATCATTGAAAATTGTTATCGTTATTAAGAGAATGAACAAATATTTCTAATAAGGTACCTGTAATAAATTTCTGTCACAGCTTCCTAAATTTTCCCGCGATTTTATGTTCCTTACTTTCTCCGTTGTTCTAATTCGCGAATCAAACGCGAACTAATTAATCAAATGAAAAATATAGAATAATTAAAGAAATAATCTTTTCTACTGGTTAATATTTCTTGTAACAGTTTACAGAAAGAATAATATGTTTTATATTTTTTTACATTTTATATTTTTATACTTAATAAAAAATGTGTATTAATTAATTAATAATAGTATTTGATTTGGACTCGATCGCAGTAAAGAGTTCTTATAACTAATGATATACGACTTATTCTTTCTTTTACTTACACACATGCAAACATATAAACGAATCGAGCGTAGTAATACAAAAATTTAATCCAAATTTGGATAATACTGATGTACACATTTAAATATCTTTCTCTCTCTCTTTCTTTCTCTTTCTGTGTCTTTTTATTTCTCCCTCTTTTAGTTAGGTTAAACATTGTTCAATTAAAACATCTTTTTTGCTTACTTTTATTAATCTTTTCAAGTGATTTCTTTGATCCTTTAAGTGATTTTCTTGAATTCCTTCCTTTGACGTATATGAAGTAAAAAATACTTTTATAAAAGTCCACTTAATTAATATATTCAACGCATTATTAAGAGCATAATTAGAATAATTTTATTTTAGTTTTTTACAATTTATTTATCTCCCTCTCTTTTTCTTACATGTATAGATTAGAGTTGCAGAAACGAACGACAGAGGTCAGGTAGATATGTTATACTTCTATACCTAGTGGCGCTGACGAATTAGTTTTGATAATTCGCCTATTCACGCTTTTTACGGCTAGTAAACAATTGTTTATTATTTTCAAAGCAAATAATATTCCTTCAAAAAATTCAGTGAAACATGAGTTCCATCGGCACTGGGGTAAATATATATTCACCATTATTTTTATAATTTTATAATATTCTGTTGATATTTTAAAGAAAAGTGAATAATATAACCTCCAAATATTTCAGTATGACTTGTCTGCATCACAATTTTCACCGGATGGTCGCGTTTTTCAAGTAGAATATGCCCAAAAAGCTGTTGAAAATGGAGGGTAATATTTAGTTTAATAATTTATAAAAAATCAATTGGTGCATAGTACTGTTTAAACTGTGAGTAATGATCTGTCAATTTCAGCACTGTCATTGGTTTAAAAGGGAAGGATGGTGTAGTATTTGCAATAGAAAAACTTATTACTTCTAAGCTTTATGAGCCAGGTGCAAATAAAAGAATATTCAATATAGATCAACACGTTGGTATGGCAGTTTCTGGCCTTATTTCTGATGCAAGACAGATAGCAGAAACTGCAAGATCGGAGGCTGCTAGTTACCGTTCTCAATATGGTATAGGCATTCCTCTGAAGTACTTAAACGAACGTGTTTCTATGTATATGCACGCTTATACATTGTATTCCGCTGTGAGGCCTTATGGTTGCTCTGTAATTCTTGGAGCTCATGAATCAGATGGTCCCGCAATGTATATGATTGATCCTTCTGGTGTGTCTTACGGTTACTATGGCTGCGCAGTAGGTGAGTAATGATATGTAAACTATTAAAAATGAAATTAAATGCAAATAGTATTAATAGATTAATTTCTTTTTGTGCCATTTTAAAATCAGGCAAAGCGAAACAATCTGCAAAGACTGAAATTGAGAAATTAAAGTTATCTGATATGACTTGTAAAGATTTAGTAAAAGAGGCAGCACGTATTATTTATTTAGTACACGATGAATTAAAAGATAAACAGTTTGAATTAGAAATGAGTTGGGTAGGTGCACATACCAATGGAAAGCATGAACGTGTACCAGCAGATATAAAAGCAGAAGCAGAGGCTAAGGCGCGACAAGCAATGGTAGAAGATTCAGATAGTGATACTGAAGATATGTAAATTGAAAAAGAAATAATAATAACACTAAACATATTTTATATCGTAAGTCATAATTTAAACCTTTAAGTAAAAGCTTGAAAAATGGAATCGTCATTGTCAATGAGGGAGCTGAATAAAAATATCGCCTTGTTTTTAAATAACACGTTTTACGTTTTTTACACAGTTTCGTTAAAACCGTTATATTATTTGTTAGAACAATTTTTAAAAAACAAAAAAAGGAAAAACTTGTTACCCGTGACCTTAATAGGTCATACCAATTATTATCAACTGCGCAGATGTTTTATCGAACGCCCTTGGCAATAATCCAACATTAACGACTATGATCTCTTTGAAGGGATTATTACGAGATTTAACATTTTTTTTCTCAGCCAACGATGATTCGTGGACGAAAGGAATATTAATAATTGCTAAATCGATTAATTTTTTGTCATCAAATATCGAATTTTTCAAGTTCACATCTTAAATTTTAACAAACATTTATATTTTTCACTTATAATTTGTGGAAAACAGTAATCGATTGTAATCATTTTGAGATAAAAAAACGAATATTTAATTTCAAGAAAATAATATAGTAAGAACATTATCTTCTATTATATGTAAAAGGAAAAGAAAAAATGTATATTTTTAAATTACTCTAGTTGGTTAACTTAAATGCTTGTACATATTGTTAATACAATTAATGATTTGGACCGGCGAAGTTTATACGTGTACGTGAAAGATACAAACAATAATAGTCCAGGAGAGTGTAGTGGTGTGCTTCATTTCGCGCATGCTGCTTTATCATTTGGGGGTTGCTTGAAGCCAGAATGGGTGAGTAAGAGAGAGAGAAAACGAGTGGCGCAAGTGGTGGGAGGAAAGAGGGTAGCGAACATATAAGGATAGGGTGACTTCGAAATATCCTCACTACTTTGATTAAACGCTGGCAAGTTTTCCCGCGAACTTCTCTCGTGGAAAAAAAAAAATTTGACTAAATAGTGACACGTGACTTTAACGCGGTTATTTTTCTTTTGTGTTATCCTACGAGAGTGTATTATTCTTAAACAAATTACGAATCACGTTGAGTTAGTACGAGCATGTCTCCTTATCTTCGAGAAACAAATCATATGAATGTCACTGTCAATGAAGAAATAAGTGCAGGCATTTACGTGGGTGCATCTATTGCACTCGGTATCATTGGCTTCCTTGGTTTCACTCTGAACCTAATTGTGGCGATAATCATCGTCAAGGACGCTCAATCACTATGGACTCCTGTCAATGTAATTCTTTTCAATTTGGTTGTAAGTATTTTACGCATGTTTATTTTCTATTATTTAAGATCAGATAAAAGAAAGAAAAATTATATATAAAATATCAACCAGGCGTAAAATCGAATTACATCGATGAACATTTAAATGTTCTTTTTTCTTTTTTTTTTTATATAAAGATCGTATATTTTTAAATTTAACATCTGAAAAATAAATATTATTAACAATCGATGATATTTATATGAATGAAATTTTAAAGTATATAATATTATCCTTTCACGTTCGCAATAAATAAAATTTTCGATTTTTAATAATAATAATAATATCGATGGTGTTAAATTAAACTCTCTCTCTCTATTACATCGATCCCAGCTAAATCATCCAGTTCAGTACCACAAGGTACTCAGTGGAGAATTAAGAGTAACGTATTTTTTCCTCGAGGGGATAAAGGTTTTCAATAAGGGATATAAATTGCTGGTCGACGTTGTCCTTGCTTCCTTGCAAGCTCCTGTTTGTAAAAAAAAAAAAAAAAATAAATGAGAATAATTGAGATGTCAGATGCAGTATTGCTTTTGTTAAATTTTTACATTGTATCAATATCAATTGAATTTTTTATCATCTTGGATATAAAAATAAAATACAAATTATACGTTTTGTGAACAAGAAAAAGAAGAATTTAACTGAAACAAAATAATATAAATAATATTTATTTCAAAGGTTGGAGATTTTTTAGTAGCCGCTTTGGGAAATCCTTTGGCAATGACTTCAGCGATAACTAGTGGATGGTATTGGGGCTATGACATGTGTCTCTGGTAACAAAAATAAACTTTATTTATTGTACATATATATAAACGTAACAATGAATAGATTAAACGGCATTGTTTCTAAAGGTAAAAATAATGAATATTGCTATGGATTACTACACAATAGGAGAGATCGGCTTTGTTTAATTAATTCCAGATCATTAATGCTCATTTATTCAGTGACATAACAAAATGAGTTTGAAATACTTTAAGTCACCACGGTATAATAACCATTTACCATTTAATTGAATTATTTCGGCAGTGTATTTGGGAGTACTCGAACAATTTTTCTTTTCAAACTTGTTAATTTTGTTTAATTACTATGTATAATTAATTATTAATAATGATGTCGAATAATAATAATAATAATAATGCGATTGAGTATCGACAGCAATGAATGAACAGTAATATATATGTACAAGTAGTTATAGAAACGATAATTATAGAAATGATTTGTGCTCGAATATATAATATACATCTCTATTATAAGTTAGTTATCAAACAATTTCATTTTAAATTTGATATTTTCCATGACATATTTACGTATGATCGTTCAAATAAAAATAACTTGATTTCCCTTATGAATTTTTATTTTTCGAATAAATGCTGCTCGTAAATATTTGTTCAATTACCTTTTTCTAGATTTCATATTATATACATATATATATATTTATTTATCCGTATATATTACAATCGAAATAATATTTCAATTAAAATTGATAATTAATAGAAATACATACGAGTTGATATATAAACTTACAATTAAAATAAAATTATATTATTTGATTAAGATTGTTTAATCATACACGTAGATTTCTATTTATCATTTTGTTTCATTCACAATGGTTCGTCACGTTTTGGATGGACCATATTTTTTATGGATAACGAAGTTTCACGAAGAAGTGAAATTGCATCGTCGAATAGTCGAACGAACCGATGTCGCAAACTTTTCCGAAGGACAGCCGCGTCTCGTGAATTTTAAAAAACGATCCTTGCAAATTTAATAAGACTCCTCTATTGGCGGTCACGTTTGAGTCGTGTATTGAAATGGCAACTCTCTCTCTCTCTCTCTCGCTTTTTTATTATTATTTTGTTTTTAATTTCCTTTAATTTCTTTTATATATGTTACGAAATTGAGAAACAAACAAAAAACAAAAATAAATATATTTATCTTTTATACGTGTGTTTGTGTGTTAGTAACGGGTACATCATCGAGCTTTCACGCGCTTATATCTAATTACAAAAGTACCTAAACACATTTATATTTGTACCTTTCTGCAATAAAACTTCTTAGGCGATGGTAATAATAAAATTTTATGAAAGGACATAAAAAAAAAGAGAGAGAAAGAGAAAGTAAGGTAATATCCATAAACGATCGAGAGTTGAACGAAATTATAAAAGAATTTAATGTAAGTGTAGTATGTGTGTATCTGTACGTGTATAAAATACGTCGATCAATAATTATTTGTTTAAAAAATTACATATCTATATATTTGGAATATTAAACAATTTCGATCTGATATTTAATTAGATGACAATTTTTTAATTATCGGAGTCATCGCTGGTCAATAACGTTAAAACAAATGTATTTTAATTTAAATAATCTTAAATATTAGTAAAGTACATTACTGTATTAGATTTACCTTAATTGATTGTTAATTAATCGAAAAAATGTGTATTATAGTTCAAAATCACGGAGTATATGTTCCACGTACTATCCTCTTCGAAATCAAACAATAGACTGAGTCGTTAGTCCTCTGCGAAAATACTTTTATTCAATGTTGTTTATACGACTTTTCGAAGGTTGTATATATATAACGTACATAATACTCGGTATCAATAAAATTTCTTTTTACGGAAAGTCATATAAACAACGTTTAATAAAAGTACTTTCACAGAGGACTAACGACACAGTCTATTGTTTGATTTCGAAGAGGAAAGTACACACACATCAGAGAAGGGGTAAATACTTATTTTTAAATTACAATATACATATTTTTCGATTAATTAACAATAAATTAAGGTAAATCTAATACAGTACTTTACTCTAATAATATTTAGAATTGTTTAATCTAAAATACATTTTTTTTTTTACGTTTCAGTAGAAAATTTTCATCTAACAAAATATCAGATTGAAATTGTTTATTCTTAATATATGTAATTTTTAATCAATTGTACTATATATTATTTTTACTTTAATAGATATTAACCTGATTCTAATACATTTGTTTTAACAATAAAATATATCAAATTAAATTGTTTATTCGAAATGTATATGTACATACGTATATATAAATAGATACGTCATTTTTTAACAAATGTACTTTGTATTATTCTTACTTTAATGAATATTAAATTAATTTTGATATTAAAAAATCTTTTAAATAACAGTAACAAACAAAGGATGACCAATTGTTAGACATGAAAAAAAAAAACTTTCATCCTAAACATCCTATATCAATAATTTTCAATCAAAAATCTAATAAGCGTAACGATGTACGATTTTAATGATCTATATATGTATATATGAATCAATTAATCATATTCCATATGATAATACAATAAGTTTCATTTCATATTCTTTTTTCTTTCTATCAAACTCTTTTTTTTTCCATTAATTTATTTTGATGAATTAATAATAATATTTTAATGTTAAAGGTATGCCTGGTTCATGTCCACGTTAGGATTCGCTAGTATTGGTAACTTAACCGTGATGGCTGTTGAAAGATGGTTGTTAATTACCCGACCGATGAAAGCATTGTCGATTCGGTAAGTAAAATTAGTTAAATTTATAAATATATATTTGAATAACCATTGTCTCAACATTAAATTAAAATTGAATATTTTTCCAATTCGTCCGATACGAAAATTAATGAGAAATTTTGTATACGCCTACCGTACAATTCGTATTTATTTTAATAATTTTTTTTTTATGCGCGCGAAAAAAGAAATCAGTATGAAAAAGGATACCTACCTTGTAAGTTATTCGAATAAAGGGAATACTTTGAGTAATTAAATATCCTTAGAGTATAAGAGGAAAAACTGTTTTTGAAACCAGGATCAACCCCATTTAAATTCTTTTCCATTAAA